GAGGATAGCAAGTAGGGGCTTGCCCTGGAAAGCAGTTCAGTGCTATCCTCAATGTGTATCCTATCCACTTCCAGCCACTCTTCCTGATCTCTTCCTCCACTCGAATCTGATTTGTTCTCTCCCACAGTAGGTTGTTGCTGATAGTGTCTGACCAACGGATGCGAAGTATTTTGTGTAGACAGCTGTTGATGAACACTTGTATCATCTGGATGATGGCTTTCGTAACTGTCCAAGTTTCCACCCCATACAGTAGAACTGTCTTGATATTTGTATTGAAAATTCTGACATTTGTGTTGGTTGACAGTTGTTTCGAATTCCAGATGTTCTTCAGTAGTAGATATGATGCTCTTCCTTTGCCGATCCACGCCTTCACATCTGTATCAGATCGACCGTTTTCATCAATGATTCTGGCCAGATATGTAAGGGTTTTAACATGCTCTAAAGCTTCTCCGTCAATTGTGATTCGATTTGTGTTTGTTGTGTTGTATCGGAGAATCTTTCTTTTCCGTTTGTGTATGTTGATACCTACTGCTTCTGAGGCTGCTGCTACATTGGTCGTCTTCTTCTGCATTTGTTGTTGCGTGTGCGATAGAATAGCCATATCATCTGCAAAGTCTAGATCGTCCTGAATATTTTCCTAGTAAGTGTAAAATATCAATAGTTTTACCTCTTATTTAAATTAGATTTAATCATCAGTCATTTGTCTCATAATAATTTCCATTGTAATCATGACGTTTTTTTTCTACTTTTAAAATAAAGCAGTTTAGTTAATCAAATCATTTATTTTTCATCATAATAGATGAGACAACAATGAAACTCTGCCAATATTCTACAGATAGTCATATGCTGATTGCTTAATTAACAATGATACTATTAATATGTATTGTTCTTATCAAAAACCTAAATGTGATGTTATTTTTTTAATCAACAAGTTTTGATTCAATTCATTGTTAATAATAATAATTAAGCAACAAAAATACATTTTAACGGTTGAGATCATGAGTCAATTGAAGCTAGATCACAATGGAAAACCTGGGAGCAATGGATAGCCTTTTCATCCTATTGTGGGACTCCTCAGTAGTGCGCAGCCACAATCCCACCTCGCGAGATTTGAACTCAGAACTTATCGATCTCGCGCGCGAACGCTTAACCTCCCGCAATAGGACGAAACAGACGTCCGGTGCTTCCAAGTTTTCCATCGTGGTCTAGCTTCAATTGACTTATGATTTCGACTATTATAATTCCTATAATATTCACAAAAACCCCTTCTGATACTAAAAATATATTTCTCTAAAATTCTCGGTGGTGTTGAATTTTGTTCTTCAGAATGACAAATATTTCAATGTGAAACTGAGTACTGTTATCACTATGAAAAGTCATACGCAAATAAGATAATTCGACTCTTCAAATCTGCTTAGCTTAATGATGAATTTTTCATTGCCTTCCTAGACTACATCATCAGTGTATACTTTTAAAAATGGTTATCGCTAACAATATTGCATGATTGTGGCATTATATTGTTAATTGATTTGATTTGGAATTGTATCTATGGAAACCAACCTAGTAGTTTTGACTTTTAAGCGTTTACGACGAAGTCGAAAGGTGCTGGTTTAGATCCCACGTAGGGTTGTGGCCACTCATTGATGCTGATTTGAACACATAAATATTGGTACAAAGTTGCACCGAATGTACATGGGCCACAAAAGTCACTTGGTTTGTGTGTGAGCTGTGATACTGTCCGGGTGGCAAAACCGAAACAGGTGGTTTTCTTGGAGGCCACACCCGGAGCCCTCGACCTACCGGTTTGATCCACAAGTCAGTGGAGCGACGTAACGATATGCAGTCCCATGGTAGCCGGTGACCAATAGTTGGTTCATACGCCATTTGTTCCTTCAGGATACTGGAGCTCATGCGCACCATTGATTTGGAATCAGGGTTTCCAACTCCTTTAGTTGGACTCTCCGTGTCCACCAACTCGGTTAGAGCGTCAGACACTCGCTTTTCGTCCTCTCATTTTCGTAAACAACAGTAATTCCGTGAGAATTTAGTGAGTAGGACTTCGTTGGCAGTGGTTATATGTACATGGTCATATGAGAGCATTTCGATAGGGAGAGCTGACTATCCTCACCCTTGGTCGTCCCAGGGCATGAGGTGTACAATGCTAGGATATGGCAGATGTCCAATGTTCTCCGTTTTTTCAACAATAGCTCATCTAAGAATAACTACTGAGAATAAATAAAATCTACACATATTTTTCATTTTTCAAAGAAATGCAATGTAATTTTTAATTTGATGATCACAGTTTTATTGACATTCTTAATTAGCTGGATAGCATCAGAGAGATTTCCTTGATAACGTGACCATGTACATATAACCACTGCCAACGAAGTCCTACTCACTAAATTCTCACGGAATTACTGTTGTTTACGAAAATGAGAGGACGAAAAGCGAGTGTCTGACGCTCTAACCGAGTTGGTGGACACGGAGAGTCCAACTAAAGGAGTTGGAAACCCTGATTCCAAATCAATGGTGCGCATGAGCTCCAGTATCCTGAAGGAACAAATGGCGTATGAACCAACTATTGGTCACCGGCTACCATGGGACTGCATATCGTTACGTCGCTCCACTGACTTGTGGATCAAACCGGTAGGTCGAGGGCTCCGGGTGTGGCCTCCAAGAAAACCACCTGTTTCGGTTTTGCCACCCGGACAGTATCACAGCTCACACACAAACCAAGTGACTTTTGTGGCCCATGTACATTCGGTGCAACTTTGTACCAATATTTATGTGTTCAAATCAGCATCAATGAGTGGCCACAACCCTACGTGGGATCTAAACCAGCACCTTTCGACTTCGTCGTAAACGCTTAAAAGTCAAAACTACTAGGTTGGTTTCCATAGATCCAATTCCAAATCAAATCAATTAACAATATAATGCCACAATCATGCAATATTGTTAGCGATAACCATTTCTAAAAGTATACACTGATGATGTAGTCTAGGAAGGCAATGAAAAATTCATCATTAAGCTAAGCAGATTTGAAGAGTCGAATTATCTTATTTGCGTATGACTTTTCATAGTGATAACAGTACTCAGTTTCACATTGAAATATTTGTCATTCTGAAGAACAAAATTCAACACCACCGAGAATTTTAGAGAAATATATTTTTAGTATCAGAAGGGGTTTTTGTGAATATTATAGGAATTATAATAGTCGAAATCATAAGTCAATTGAAGCTAGACCACGATGGAAAACTTGGAAGCACCGGACGTCTGTTTCGTCCTATTGCGGGAGGTTAAGCGTTCGCGCGCGAGATCGATAAGTTCTGAGTTCAAATCTCGCGAGGTGGGATTGTGGCTGCGCACTACTGAGGAGTCCCACAATAGGATGAAAAGGCTATCCATTGCTCCCAGGTTTTCCATTGTGATCTAGCTTCAATTGACTCATGATCTCAACCGTTAAAATGTATTTTTGTTGCTTAATTATTATTATTAACAATGAATTGAATCAAAACTTGTTGATTAAAAAAATAACATCACATTTAGGTTTTTGATAAGAACAATACATATTAATAGTATCATTGTTAATTAAGCAATCAGCATATGACTATCTGTAGAATATTGGCAGAGTTTCATTGTTGTCTCATCTATTATGATGAAAAATAAATGATTTGATTAACTAAACTGCTTTATTTTAAAAGTAGAAAAAAAACGTCATGATTACAATGGAAATTATTATGAGACAAATGACTGATGATTAAATCTAATTTAAATAAGAGGTAAAACTATTGATATTTTACACTTACTAGGAAAATATTCAGGACGATCTAGACTTTGCAGATGATCTGGCTCTTCTATCGCACACGCAACAACAAATGCAGAAGAAGACGACCAATGTAGCAGCAGCCTCAGCAGCAGTAGGTATCAACATACACAAACGGAAAAGAAAGATTCTCCGATACAACACAACAAACACAAATCGAATCACAATTGACGGAGAAGCTTTAGAGCATGTTAAAACCCTTACATATCTGGCCAGAATCATTGATGAAAACGGTCGATCTGATACAGATGTGAAGGCGTGGATCGGCAAAGGAAGAGCATCATATCTACTACTGAAGAACATCTGGAATTCGAAACAACTGTCAACCAACACAAATGTCAGAATTTTCAATACAAATATCAAGACAGTTCTACTGTATGGGGTGGAAACTTGGACAGTTACGAAAGCCATCATCCAGATGATACAAGTGTTCATCAACAGCTGTCTACACAAAATACTTCGCATCCGTTGGTCAGACACTATCAGCAACAACCTACTGTGGGAGAGAACAAATCAGATTCGAGTGGAGGAAGAGATCAGGAAGAGTGGCTGGAAGTGGATAGGATACACATTGAGGATAGCACTGAACTGCTTTCCAGGGCAAGCCCCTACTTGCTATCCTCAATGCTAAACAAAGGATGAGAGGACGACCACAGAACACATTGTGCTGAGAAATGGAGAGAGACATGAGAAGAATGAATCACAATTGGATATGACTGGAAAGGAATGCGTAGGACAGAGTTTGTTGTAGAATGCTCGTCAGTGAGTTATGCTTCATTTTTAGTAACAGGCCTAAGTAAGCAAATTTAATAATCATAAAGTCAATCAAGTAACAAAATTAAAAACAACCATAAATTCTAAATAACTACATGTTATTAATCAAAATATAGAAGAAAAATCCTACACATATTGATTTCTCAAAATGATGAAATCTAAATTGTCCTGAGTAATCGAGAAAAGTAATATTCATCATTCTATATGCATTTATCATTATTGTGTTTATGTGTGTATCTCAACTAATATTGGTTCAATACTATTTGATCAGCTTGCAATTGGTAACTATTATTATTATTATTATTATTACTAGTGGACACGTGATTCATAAAAGTATTGACACCATTCTTAAAATTATAAAAATGGTATTCAATTCAATGAAACAAAAGAGTTCTATGTGAAAGACAGTTTCATTCATATACACTTATATGTATACGTAGTTGTATAGAATTACATATAAATAAATACATATACAAGTATACTGACTGCTGAACACTTTCATATAATACTTATTACATTCATATTATTATTATACATATTTGAGTAGGTATTTCTACTATGTTAGTGATGACTGTGAAAGTTTAGAAAATTAATCTTTATTCATTTTGAATGATACCAAAATCACTACTTTTGTTGGAATATTACTTATAGTGGATAGATTATTGTTGAAATGTCTTTAATTTTGGATCTTAAATATTTAGTTGGATTAACTGGTAAAGGGGATCGTAGAATTAAAGTTTTATTTCGAGGTAAGTTTATGATAAATTAATTCAATATAAGTATAGATAAATTAATGATTATTATGAGAATGGAGGGCTTTGTGGAGATTATAGTAAAATATAATGGTTGAATTCATTAGTCGATCTAAACTAAACCACTATTGAAAACCTGGAAGTACTGAGAAACCGTGATCATTAGAGTTGGATAGAGACAGGTATCTACCTTACACAATGGATGAATAGTTGTGAAAGATCAATTGTAGTTAGATATTAACACCGTTAGATACCACGTTAAGTGCTCGCAAGCGAGATGGGATCGTGGATGTACACTGTTGAGGAGTCCCATACTGGGATGAGGTGGCCATCCAGTGCTTCCAAGTTTTCAATGGTGGTCTAACTTAGATCAACTCATGAATTCAACTTTAAGAAGTAATGATTATCAGTTGATGATTCATGTCATATTTTAACCATCAAATATAGATAAGTAATATGAGGGAAGTCATTGAAACTTTGAGAGTATTTATTCTAAAAAAAAAAGACTGACGGAGTAAAACTAAGGAATACAGGGTAGTTATTTTGTCCTAGTTTAAGACTTCTAAGGACTAACTACTCATCGACAATTTGGATTTCTGAAAATCTGAAGTAATTAGTCGTTTTTATAAATTTTGATAGAACAATAATAAAACGGATTTGATTTGATAAATTTGGTGTATTTTATATAATTGACCTTTATTAATTTTCATATAAAATACTTTGATAAGTATATATATATTCAGAGAGGGATTTTGTGAATATTATAGTAATTTAGTAGTTGAATTAATGAGTTATTTGAAGCTAGACCACCATTGAAAACCTGGAAGTACTGGAAGGCAGTTTCGTTCTACTATGGGACTCCCCGTGGATTGGTTGAATTTAAACATTAAAACTGTTGGACACCTTAGCAGTGATCTAGAAGTTAAACGTTCGTGCACGACACCGATAGGTCCCGGGTTCAAATCTCGCGAAGCGGGATTGTAGGTGCGCACTGCTGACGAGTCCCATGCTAGGACGTAACAGCCGTCCAGTATTTCCAGGTTTTCAGTGGTGGTTCAGCTTCAATCGACCCATGAATTCAACCATTAAGAAATATAAATGTATATGACCAGATTTCTCGAAACGTATAGCACAAATACACCACATTTTCACCGATTAACTTTATCTTCTTATTTTTTTTTCTATCGAAATTTCTGAATTTATTATTAGGATAGTAGTAGTAGTAGGAGAAGTGACTAATTTTCAGTTGCTATGTAATCTATACTGTTATCCTACATTACCCTTTCTTGTTTTTCTTTTTAAACTAACAAACGACTCGGTGAAATTGTTTGATTTGATTATTTCATGTATAAAAAACCCAGTAGATTTAATTCCTTAGTAACCGTTTCTATATTCATTTAACTAGTAAGTAGTTTCAAGTTTTAAAATTAATCCATTTGAAGCAATTAGTTCCTTTGATAAACTTCGGTTAGTGTAATAAGGAAATGAAGATTAGCAGAACTATACGATGATATATTATCGCAATACATTTCAAATAATCTGATCACATATAATGTACTTGTTAAGAACATTTCTACATAAAAATAAAAGGTCAGCTAGACTTGGAATGAAGGTTAAGAGGAGACAAAGATAGGAACTCACTGAAGACAATAGTGTACGGTGGCGCAACTTCGTGGATTGGTTGAAGTTAGACATTAACACCGTTGGATGTCAGCCGGCTCAGTGGTCTAGTTGGTTAAGCGCCTGGCGAGAGACTGATAGGTCCTGGGCCCGAATCTCGCGGGGTGCGGGATCGTGGATGCGCACTGCTGAGGAGTCTTATACTAGGACCAAACGGTCGTCCAGTGCTCCCAGGTTTTCCATAGTGGCCTAGCTTCAATTGACTCATGATTTCAACCAGTGAAATTTCTAAAAAGTCTCCACAAAACCCATTTTGATAATAATAAAGAAAACAATGTGAATACAATTTCTAAAACAGTCATCTCAAGGCATTTCCGATGAAAACACTTAAATTATCGCATAGTGACACCGTTTATTTCAGCAGATGAATTTGAATATGAATATACGAATATGTCATTGTTTCAAATAAATATCATCTAACCATGATCTGAATCATTTTATGAAAGAAAATAGTGATTTGTTAACTACTTATTAAAAGGGTACTGAGATTAGTTTGTATAAGAATCCCAGTTATAAATATTTTGGTGGTGTTGAATTCTCCAACATCCATAAATTCTATGAATCTTCTTCATTCTCATCAATAGACCTACTCACAGTTTCGAATGGATAATCGTCAAAAAAACTGCTCAACTTTTTATTGTGATATCTTATTATAATAAGTTACATAATTTATTCCTATAATCAAATATTTATGAGTATAGAATTTCATAACTGACTTCAATTCAACAGTTACATTCTTAAGAAATAGTTTTTTTTCTGGTCTTTAAATAAAGTTGGTTAGTGATTAGCAGATGAATTTAAAACATATGTTTCGTCCCATTTGGGACTCATCAGTTATATATACTTGGATCCCAGTGTTGATATTAACACTGGGAATCCAATCCAGTTCCTTACACTTTATATGCCAAATGTTTTTATCTTTTGGTTTACGCTAATCAAACTAATTATCCATACTTTGAAATTACTTCATCTTAAAATATTCTTAAGAACAGTAATTACCTACATGGTGCGAACTTTTAAACATTGGATAACAGATTTTAACCCCCTCTATTTCCTATTTCAGCGTTGTCGGCTGAATATTTTAATTAAGACATACGAATAATATATATTCCAAAAAAAGTAATTAAATCTATACTAATTTTCTAAGTGAAAAAAATTTGTTGTCTACCAATTGGTTTGTCATGTTGTCTGGTTTTTAGTGCTATTGGAATTCTGTTAAAGAAGTTTGTTATATAACTAAATAGTCTAAGTGATTTGAAATTATGGTGCAAATTTTTCTAACATAAGCTGAAGGCGATCAGCAAGAATGGATCTCATATTAGATAGAGCTTGTGAGTTCTGTAATATCAAATAAATGAATACTTTTCCTGTAATCTATTGGAGAGACGACAAACATTCCCATTGAGAAACTTTGACCAAATAATCCTTAATTTAGGTTCGTGACTTTCGACAGATAACGTCCAATAACTGGATATCAGTTTAAAAGTCCTATTTTCATTTAATAACCATATTAACTGTTGAACCAATTAACCAGCATTTAAGTAGGAAAGAATTAACATTTATTGTCAATAGTAAATGCAGCTCAGGACTTGGAAGTAATCAATAAAATTTAAAATGTAATTTAACCCATCATTGACTACTACATGGAGAGAAAGTCAGTCAGTGGTTAGGTTTAATCCTGTACGTGATCTTATATATTCCTGCTTCTGTTTAGTTCCATTTTAAGATGGAATAGTTATTCAGTGTTTATTAGTTACGGTGGTTCTCCAGTCAAATTAAGTTTATGATTCAAACGATTTTTAGCATCAATTTAGCACAGATTACTATTTAATGGTATGAATCAGAGAAGAAATGCTACAAAAATATATTATGTCACTGATTTGATAAGCTTTCTACATTGTAGTAAGAACAGATATGTTAAAAGTTATATTTGTCAAAATGTGAGATAACTAGTATTTTGGTTGAATACTAGTTTTAAGATATCACTATTTCATTATTACTCTGTCAAATAAGTAAATTTCGAATACGGGATATAGTCAACTCCCCCCGTACTCATTGCTTTGTCACTAATGATAAACTAAATAATATATTTCTCAAAATTACGTCAAAAAACTAGCACATTATAGTACAATGTTCAATTTGTAGTGGTAAATAACTGTTATATTCCGCATTTCTGCTAGTCTTGGTAGCTTTAAACATTTCCAGATGGTATTCGGTCAAGTATCTTAGCGATACTTCAGCAGAGAATACATGAAATTATTCTTTCCTCCTTTAGATAGTTAGCTTAATGGCTTAACGTTCACCTACCTCTGTCTAGTTATCATAGTTCGCCTGCTTGTTTATCTTACAGGTACAATGTTTAGTACCAGAACCATTTAATTACATTATGTCTAATATTTTCCCAAAACATGTTATCACACTGTATAAAGCATGAAAAAAATGGTATAACTTTATGAAATACGAAGAAGACTCATTATTTACTTAACAGAGTTACAGTTCTTGATAGGATTTCACAATGAAATACAATGATAATTGTTTACGTACACAAAATTACTGAAGTTTATTTTAATATGTTGACGCATTAATAAACAACATGTGATCACTAGTCATTCATCATCATCATCATCATCATCATCATCATCATCATCATCATCATCATCATCATCATCATCATCATCATCATCATCATCATCATCATCATCATCATCATCATCATCATCATCATCATCATCATCATCATCATCATCATCATCATCATCATCATCATCATCATCATCATCATCATCATCATCATCATCATCATCATCATCATCATCATCATCATCATCATCATCATCATCATCATCATCATCATCATCATCATCATCATCATCATCATCATCATCATCATCATCATCATCATCATCATCATCATCATCATCATCATCATCATCATCATCATCATCATCATCATCATCATCATCATCATCATCATCATCATCATCATCATCATCATCATCATCATCATCATCATCATCATCATCATCATCATCATCATCATCATCATCATCATCATCATCATCATCATCATCATCATCATCATCATCATCATCATCATCATCATCATCATCATCATCATCATCATCATCATCATCATCATCATCATCATCATCATCATCATCATCATCATCATCATCATCATCATCATCATCATCATCATCATCATCATCATCATCATCATCACACACACACAAGTGTACTGTTAAACCATTTTGTTTCGATGGCAGTTTGTTAAAACTAATCTTATTGAGTTGTTAATGAATTATTTATCAAGATTAATGATTACTAATATACAACTACTAATATCTACGCTTGCGAAACATGACTCCGACCAGCTACTTGAATGAACATCTCTCACCAATTATGTGGCCTAGATCTGATTAGCTCAGAGTATCATTTAGGATAATTGTGATGGAAATAAAATGAAAGTTACACTGTCTAAGAGATTAGTTAGCATTATCAAATCTATGCAAAATTATGGATTAATTTAATATTGTACAACTGAATATCGATCCAGTGAGACCTGAAGGTCATGGGTTCGTTCCCCTTTGGTATTTCTGGTGCAAACTGCCAAGAAGCCTCGTGTTAGGCTGGAACAGTTGCGTAATCCTCCCTATTTTTCAGCAGTACCACAACTAAGATCAATCTATGATCCGTATAACCTACTAATTAAACCAATCTTCACAAAATATCTTCAAATGAAACTATTTTTGTTACTGATATGGTGATTACTTTAGATGTGACATTGAGTGATACAGATTCCAATTTTTAGGAAGGAAAATTAGTTCTGTTAGGATTGCAGATAGATTTTGAAGGTCGTCTAACATTAAACTTTAGTTCAAGGCTTCCTGTAATGAATGATCTGATATCTTAAGCGTGTATCTTCATAACAAGCAACTGAATGAAAAAGCAGATGGTCACTGTAGTTACAGAATATGAAATTAGGTAAATTCTGTCCATTTATTCTACAATATACCAAGTAAGGAAATTAGCATAACACTTCTCACAATCATACAAACCTAATTTAATAAAGCAAAAAGAGATTTCAACGATGAAAATTTGCTTTCCAACCAAATAATTTACTAAAGCTGGAACATTTTGATTTCACCTGCTCAAGCCTGAACTCTGTATGCGGAGAGATAATGTACAATCTTTCATCCTTCTACGACCTTAACAGCCGTCCCAGCATGTTTTGGTTCCATATTCTATTATTTGATTTCTTTTATTGATTTATATTATATTCTTGAACCAATCAACTTAAAAAAATATTGAAAACTCAGAAGCATTGGAATGTTTATTCGTCCTCGTATGAGGTTCCTCAGTAGTTTGCATCCACGATCCCGTACACGGGAATCGAACCCGGGACCCTCATTCTAGCACGTATCAGGAAAAATATTTATTGTGATTTAGCTTAGGCAGTTGTATAGAAGATATTTTTTATCGGTTTCGAACATTTTAGTTGTAAGATGTTGCCGATGTTTACTTAGTTAATCACAAACTATAAACTATCTGGCGGTACGCTTTTAATTTAGTGCAACAATATACGATGCTCTATCTTAAACCTCATTGGTTCACTCATAGTTGTCAGTATAATATACTTTCACCTTTATTTCTTATTATTCTGGTCATGTTTTCGCCTATTTTGAACGGCAAAACTGGAAATATTAACAGAGGTGTTTGTGGGTTTTCTAATAGAATAAGAGTATACTACAACACGAGTTAAAGAAATTTTTCTGAATTTATTTATTAATATAACTGACTGATCTTAGTTAGACAACCAATATAAACGAGTAGGCACTGATTAACTGTTTCACCCTATTTAAGGGATTCCTTATCAGTGTGCATTCACGACCTCGACATCAGTGATCGAACTCAGGACCTTCGGTTTCTTGTGAGAACGCTTAGATTCTATACATTTGAGCCAGAATTCAGTGGTTCACATATTTGACTTTCATTAGTTCATAATATTGTATAATCATCTAGTATCCTTACTGTCTTACATTTGACATGGTTGAACTCCAATAGTCATGGCTTCTCTCTAGAACATCGGAATTACCTCTCGAAATTAGTTACTAGTGAGCACCTGAATAATAAGTGTAAATAGTTTGTTGATATTTTTCTGGATTTCATAGTCAACATCACTGACTGACTTTAGTTAATAATCAAAGTCCAAATTTGATTATTACCCTAATGAAGTCTAGACAAGCTTGGTGAAATTAAACATCGGAATTAATTTAAATTTCAATGGTTAATATTATTTCAAACAAGCGAACGGTAATTGGTTTGAGTCCTAGAGTGAACATCAACTCTGGAATATAGGTACATTTGGCTGATGAGTCTCAAAATAAGATGTAACTCACGTTCTGGATTCCACTGTGCTAGCCACCATCATTCTTTGTCTATTTCAAACAAAGTTTTCATTTATAATGTCTTTAACATATTCAACATTCAATTTCTGTCAAACTATTCGTATAAATATTGGTAAGTACTACTACTAATGTAAATCTAACTATTATTCTCTATAACATAACAATTTAACAGTTGATTAAGTCATAGTTATCTCGAATGAAATAATCATAATCTATTCTTTTGGTAACTGTTTTGCTTTGCTTATTATTTTCAAATCTATGTCTTGTTTTGTTTTTAAAAAAATTAAAACAGAGGCTAAATTGAATTCAAGAATTGCTACTGGACATGATAGTGTTTATTTTGGACAACGTATTAGTTGGCCAGTTAGTCGTTCATTGGATGATAAAGATGTATTAATTTTAAAAGCTTATCAAATAAGAAAAGGTTTACCAGATAGGTAGATTCTATTGTATTCAATGTAATTATCTTTTTTTAAATAATTGTTTTGAGTAGTTAGTCTACGAAATGAACTGTTTATAAGCAATGATGGTTGGTGGCTAGGAGTGGAATTCAGGACGCGCGTTTCGTCCTATTCAGGACTCGTTAGCTCGATGTATCTGCATCGCAGAGTTGATGTTCACTTTAGGACTCGAACTCAGTACCACTCGCTTCAAACGACGTCGCGTTATCCACTCAACTACTGAGTCCTGATAGCCACTTGCAGTCTTAAACCTCAATGGGAAGATACAAGCCAAACGATACCAAGTGAATTTATATTCACCCCGTTGCACAAGCAAGTGGCTCTCAGGACTCAGTAGTTGAGTGGATAACGCGACGGCGTTTGAAGCGAATGGTACTGGATTCGAGTCCCAGATTGAACATCAACTCTGCGATGCAGGTACATCGAGCTGACTATTCCCGAATAGGATGAAACGCGCGTCCTGAATTCCACTGCTAGCCACCATCCATCATTGCTTAAGAAAAGCTTGTGAATTAAAGCAATATCGAGGCATACCACAGTATGTGCATATGTCGATAACAGACTGATCAATTGCAGTCTTAAACCTCAACGGGAAGATACAAGCCAAACAATACCAAGTGAGCTGTTTATAGTTTACATCAAGGATTGATTTTAGCTTGACAATCGATTTAAAACTCAAAACACTGGACAATTGTTTTGTTTTAGGATGAAGCATCTCAACAACCTACAAATTCGTTAGGGTTCGAACTCAGGACATATAAGCTTGGTGGGAAAGATGTTATGATCAAGTCATTTATGATTTATCAATCTTAATATTCAGGTTTTTCTTTCTTAAACTGGAATCTAAAATCTCATTACTTTATACCAGTTACTCCCACTAAGCGATATGACTCTCTCTCTCTCTCCAGTAGATGCATTGATTAAAGACTCGATTTAGACTATAAGCGGTTAATATGACTCTACAAAATAAGGTGAGCTCGTATTATTGTAAAAAATTAACTTCAATGTTATGTAGTTGAAAATTAGTTTTTAATGATAAGTTGATGTGAATAAGATGAAACGTAAAATATTAGGAGTTTGGCGGCCCTTAATCTGACTCCCATTAGATTGCATGCTTGACAGTTATCAAAATATAGAAATCATCAATCCTCGTATATAGTCATCGACTTAAAGCGCGTTAGTGAATAACGGAAGTAAATAAGTCAAATGGGAGGATGAAGTTTTGAATATGTTTATTTCGTATAATCGTTGATATGTACAGACAATCGAGAAGACGGAACGAAGGAAACGAATAGGAGAGAGAGAGATAGGAGGAAAACGTAGTGACACGCAGCGAAAAAGGCATGTGAGCCCACTCAATAAAGCCAATCGTGAATCAATATTTACATTCAGACCAAAAATAAGTTACAAGGCATATGATGAGTAAGATAAGAAATGCACATACATACGTTTACATTAAAAGTAGTCAAGATTGATCTACAAATAATTAACACCGTTCGAAATATTACTCAAGAAGAATGAATAAATTAGCTTGTACGGTAGCCAGTATAAGCTATGTAGGCTTAATATAGCAACCAAAACTACAAGAGCGCCATCCACTTGCAGTCCTTCTTCGGAATGATAAGCTTAATTTATAGGGTCCTGTTGTACAACCATAAGTATGTAAATTAACTTTTCATTTGTAATTTCCGTGCTTCGATTAAAAAGTACATCTTTAAATTTGTGTAAGATTCCGTAGTTCTTACTAACCTACTTATGATTAGTAATGGGAATGTACATGTCATGTTTCTCTGACTCTTAGTGTAGATCACATCATATCCGTCAACTTCCAATGCGGCCTTTAGTCTAAATAACTTGGGATTACGCGAAAAAAACTTAACTTATCTCCTGAATAAATAAGCAGTTACATCTCTGAATGTGATGTTGAGTGACATGGGGTTCTAGCCGCAAGCAGAGAATCGTTATTTTCAAACAGGTTTTCCTATTGATTATATTCAACCATCTAACATTGTATATATTTATGTGATAAAGCTAATTATTAAACCTGATCATCAACTAAATGTTCATTGTATTTTACCTCAGTTTACTAGGATCCTTGTCAATCAATTTATATCCACTGACTCGAGATGTACATTCAATATTTCGAGAAAATCTTGTGGATAGTTCAAATCATCCAACTGGCGTAAGTATTGGTGATATTTACGTTTTAAAAAAAATACTACCATTGTTTTATTTGAACAGTCAACTGCTCGTCAGTCAGTATTATTTAGACTCGACTAATGACGGTTTGTTGAAAGGACGTTAAGAATTCTTCTAAAACTTAGTTACTACTGATTTTATGGTTTACAAGTATGTCAGTATTATTCAACTTATATTTTCCGTCACGGGATGACTTCAGAAAGAAAAAAATTGAAATGGGAACTACTGGATGTACAACTTAATGGCCTAGATGTAACATTCTCTTCATTATGCATGAATGTCTTATTTCTTTAATGGTTGTCATACTAAATTTAACCAACGATATGAACTACAAACTGGATGAACTTTACATATCTCCTGAGCTATCAGTAATCACATACTCATTTGTGACGACAATCAAAAAGTTCAAAAGTTCTAAAGTAAAGTTCTAACAAATGAATTTTAATCACTATGTGAATGGGACTGATATCGCCCATTTCACTATGTATTATTTATCCTTTATATATAAACTGTGACGACAAATCGAATAAGGGGGAATTACTCAAAGGTCTTAAATATTTATGCAACTTAAGTTACTCATCTTGTGGATTGATTTTGCCCCTCTTATATAAAAAACGAAACATAACTTTATGTTAACTTTTATTTGCCTGTCTCCGTTACACTAAAGTATTACAAATCATTACATTTGTCACTACTAAGTAATTAATTAGTGTCATCTTAACTCACTCATTCAGGGCTTAAATTGTAATCATGATTTCTTTTCTTTACGTACTATTACATTAGATATTATTATTATTTGAGTTACGTTATCAATCACCTGATAGTACACATGGTGATCTAGATGATGATCTTGCTAATTATCCGCTAGCGGACACAGATTATGGACTTGAAGATGCAGAATATGAAATTCATCAAGATCAACCTCCACCTTTTAGGTAGGTCATTTTAGATATTTTGTAAACTATTAATTTATTTTCCATCATCACTTAAGTCAGTACCATTTAGTTGAGAATATGCATTATTCAACAGCATTATGAAAACAAAAAAAACTCATTCATGTTTCGAATAAAATTAAAGTTTGTTCCATACATCAGTTATCTGGTATCTCATTTAATTTTCTTCTCACTAGCATCAATTTGTTTTAAACCGTTCGTGAAACACAATTATGTGAAAGAAGAGTATTCTTAAAGAGAAGGAATGTATTTGTAAAATTTCAGCAAAAGTATTTGAAGTAATTTCACTGTTTTGCCTGGCAATCTGGTCTAAGCTTTCCCAAAGAAATATTTTTTTTATTCAGATCATGAACTGATTGATGTTAGACCACCATCGGAAACCTAGAAGCACTGGACGGCCGCTTCGTCCTATCGTGGATGCGCACTACTGAGGAGTCCCACAATATGACGAAACGGCCGTCTAGTGCTTCCAGGTTTTCCATGCTGGTCTAGCTTCAACTGACTCATGATTTCAACCATTGAAATTACTATAATATCCACAAAATCCCTTCTGACATTAACCATACAGTTGACTTTAAACGATGTACTTTGCCCTAAACCTGGTTACTATTTGGATTATTAATTTGGATGTATAATTGTAGAACTTGAAGAGAATATTCTTCGTTCAACTATTATTCTTTCAATATAATTGAGGATCTTTAAACAAACTTTAAAACCTTGAATTAGTCATTTTCTAAATAAACATAGAGCATAGAAGTTACACTTTTGATATTAAAAAAACAAACAAAAACAAACAATATTCCATCGATTAATCAATTATTATAGTTACTGTTTATGCTGAATACTTTCGAAATGTATCAGACAGAGTACACTGTCTTGACCTTGACCTTGAAAAAAATGGTTGGTTTTATTTAAGATTCCAATATTTAATTTCCAAATTGATTTCATGATCTTGTATAATCTTCTGTACTTAGAAATTGTTTCTACATTAATAATAATAATAATTGTTACTATGTCTGTTATCATTAAATGACCTGAGATTTTGTTGTTGTCACTTGATTTCATACTTAATCGATAAATTTAAATAGTTGATAAACTTTGAATGTGTATCCCAATTTATCGTTAATGTTATTACAAAACAGTAGTGTTTGTGTGTGTGTGTTCTCATAGATATTCTGTTCACTTATACATAATTCATGAAAAGATCAATACAGTTTAAGTACTTGTCTGAAAACGATATCTACAATCTGTTGATGGTTTGTACTATCATTTGAGACCGTCACTAAACACAAACTAATCACTGAATAGTTACTGGTACGTTTCCAGTGGTGGTTAGGGAATTTGATCCACAATTTGTAAATTAACTTATGAGTTAGATGATTCTCTATTGTGATCCATATCAATTTATGTTGGATGATTTAAAACATACATTTTAATAGCAATATTTTTCTATCTCTGAGAGAAGAAAAAACCAACTTCATTATTGTCCTAAACAGACATTACCAAAGATTGTCTAGATAGTATGAGGTTGTGGAGATCGTTGAGTTCTAGTTGAGATCATGAACCGATCAGTGTTAGAGGTAATTCTCGGAGTTCTAGTGAGAACCTTTGACCAGTGGAGTTGAATCGTGTTGGGTATGAGGCAGATACCCACCAAGGATAATGGAAGATGGTCGCGCAAGATGGTGGATTGGTTGAAGTCAGACATTAACACTGTCAGATCCCTGCTCAGTGGGCTAGGGGTTAAACTTAGGTGATTGAGGCCGGATGTCCCGGGTTCGAATTCTGCGTGTGGGATCGTGGGTGCTCACTTCTGACGTGTTCCATACCAGGCCGCCTAGTGCGTCCAGGTTTTCACTGGTGATCTAATAGTGATCGGTTCATGATCTTAATTAAAATCTCGATTGTTTAAACGTTGTTAGTCGTTTCTTTAATCATTCAACCTAAGTATACAATGCAGAGAGCTGTTTGATTCATTTAGATGCTTTGTAACATAATCACTTTAACTTCACTATATTAAAAGATCATGAAACTTTTAAATTAAACACCCCTTAAATGGTTGATGTTCATGTCTGATGTAATTACTTACAAAGAGATCTCAATAACAAACTGAGGACTCTAAATATGGGAATTAGGTTGATGATCCAACTGCTCAACACTTAAACGAATGAGATGACTAGATTAAATTTTATACGGAGAAGTCAAATCATATGTCTGATAGTCCATAAAAACATGTTATCTAATCATCAAACTAAAGCACAGACAAAACTATATGTTTATCAAGAACGATAAGACTCAGTGGTATTAATAGTGAATTAATCTTTATTATAAAGCTCCACTGTTTGCCCTCGACATGTGATGTCTGAATTAATTAGGAATTTGAACCGCTGCATTAAAAAGAAATGACACAATAAATATACTTATCATCAAATTGTTCAAAGTTATGAACTGTTACTTCTAAACAATTCATATTATGCTTTTTACATTCTTCAACCTAAGGGAAGATCAGTTTTACGTTAATTCTTCCTATATTGATTCATGCTTTTCATTTCAGTTCATATGTTGAGTTGAATGATGATTTCAATCAAATAATAGATCGAGAACTTGCTCTTGCTGCAGGTGACGAATGGGAGGTAGAGAGTCAACTATCTGCACCGGAAAGAAAGTAATATATCACCTTTTTTTCTCATTATCGATTCTAATTGGTTATTCAGTAGTTGCTTGGATCCATTTGTCACTTATTGAATAGTCTTAATGTTTTATTTTTAACTACAAATGTTATGTATTGAAACGAGCTAGTCAACCAATTATATGGCATTTTATTCATGAAGTACTCCTCAACATAATGTTTAGAACATTTGCTTACAACTGAATGACTACCATTACATTTTCAATCATAAAGATGTATCTATTTGATAAAATTTAATTGATGCATACATGCGATCTATGGTCATAGTTTACCATAGTTTGTTCCCAAACAGTAAACAATAACCAAAAAATTATTAACTGGTTAAGACTAGTTCATATCCTTCTGATAGGAAACTATTTTTAAGCCGTCAATAGGATAAGAATCACTGGTGATTAGTTTTGTTTTATTCGATAGACAGATAAGTTCGAAATTGAGAAATATGCAAAAGAATCTGTTTTAACACTAGGATTTTCTTCATCTTTACTAATGGGATGTTAATATACTTTAGAAGAATATCTACACTAGATTCCATCCCAGTGTCGATTCTACAGGACTTCAACATAACTCAGATCAAGAACACGTGATTAGCGTGACTAGTACGTAAGTATATTTCCATACCAAAATACCGATAACAAGCCGACACAATCCAACAACAATCGCAATGATAATAACTCCTATCAGACTATCTACACGTCTGACTAAGCAAACAACCAATCATCATCATTCTCGCCCACACATCAGAATTTCATGAATATCACATAAAGAAATTGTGATGAATAGAAGCAGTCGAACTGATTTACTAACTAGGAATTCCCAGAATAGTGCAATTTAAGGCAGTCAGAATCGAATGAATACAGCTACACCTATTATATTTGGGATTTATAATAAGCGCTCAATCCAATACAAAGTAATCATTAATCAATATAAAATATCCAATTAGAAATGATATCTTTGACAATAAAATACTAAGTCGAAATTTTTCAGTTCATTATAATAAGTTAATAGGTCGTAGATTAGAATCTTGCGAGGCGCGATTTTGGATGAGTACTGCCGAAGAGTCCTACACTAAGACGAAGTGGTCATCTTGTGCTTCCAGGTTTTATATGATGGTCTAACTTCACATGACTCATGAATTCAACTATTAAATTACTATGATATCCACAAAAACCCCTTTCTGATTAAAATTCATGATAAGTTACTAGTTAAAAATATTAGGTATTTTAAGGTTTAACTATTGATATAATGTAACTTATTAACCAAATAAACACCTATGTACTTTATTATTGAGTCACCTTTACTATATTTACAGTAATACTTTAAAGCAAAGTTTACATTAGAATAAACAAGATATTTTTTGGCTCGTTTTTTTTCTATTAGCAAAACGTAATAAAGATTATTGACTTCTATTTATATCAGTGGATACAATCGTTAATAATTAACTGTCAAATTGGCAGGTCAAATGAAATCTTTTTTAAACAAAAAAAAAGACAATGATGGATGTAGCGCTCATTTTCGTGGATTAGTTGAAGTTAGACATTAACACCGTTGGATGCCTTAGCACTGGTCTAGAGGTTAACGTTCTCGCGCGAGACCGGAGGCTCTGAGTTGGAGTCCCGCATGCGAGATCGTGGATGCGCACTGTTGAGGGGTTCCATACTAGGATGAAACGGCCGTCCATTACGTCCAGGTTTTTAACGGTTGTCTAGCTTACATCGACTCATGTGTTCAACTATTAAAATCAATACAGTCTCCACAAACCTCATTGTGACCATAATTATTGTTTAAACAGCTAAGTAATATTGTAATGAACGAGAACACAAGTGGGGAATAATCACTTGTATTTCAATGCAAAATTACAGAGTTCTTTGGGTAAATGTAAAAACCATACGTTCAAAATTTCATTTACAAATATTCCATCAATTGTTTCAAACCTTATCGTTCCTTCAATACCATAAATATTACTCTCTGTTTCCATTTTCTCCGATTCGATCTTCTCAAATTTCTGTTGCCAGGCTGCCCATTTTTGATCGGCGTTATATACTACTTATGTAGACATAAGTAACATCCACTACAAGATAATTAGCTTCCAGATCTAAAGTATGATAGATCATATTATTTGATTCGGTTTGTTGCTAATTTGGATTCACGGCAATAAATTATAGTTTAAGTGAATAATTAGATGGTTACATAGATTCCCTGTTTCATTAACTATAAGCTATTTCATTTTTCTCAATCTAACATGTCAACTGTGGTTGATTTTCTCCAAAGCACCATGATATTTACGAATTTTCAATTCATACTACTTCTGTCCTTTAAATACTAAACGTTAATTTATTATTACTGCCACAACAAAACATACATTTGCCAACACAAACATTTCTTAGAGGAAAAATAAGCTGGTTTTATATATGATTCCCAAAACTATTTATACGATGAATAGATTAAATGAAATGGTGTCGTAGAGATAAATTCGATTTATAGTATATAATACCTGTCAGTGCTTACTAATGCGGTGTTTTATATTTGGAAGAAACCTCTAGTACTCCTGATGTCAATCTATGACAAACTCCATCTACAAATGTACAGATTATTTAAACTGGATCTTTTCCGTTAATAATATGAATAGGTACTTATTTACTTATTTACTTACTTAACTACTTGCTTACTCACTTACTTGCGCCTGTTGCTCCCAATGGAGAATAGGCCGCCAACCAGCATTCTTCAATCCAATCTGTCCTACTCCTTTCTTTCTAGTTCTATTCAATTGTTGTTCATTCTTTTCATGTCTGTCTCCATTTCTCGGCATAATGTGTTATTTGATCTTCTCCTCCTCCTTTGGCCTTGAGAATTCCATGTGAGAGCTTACATTGTGACACAGTTGGGTGCTTTCCTTAATGTGTGTCCTATCCACTTCCAACACTTCTTTCTGATTTGTTCCTCGACTGGGATATTGTTTGTTCTTTCCCACGGTAGGTTGTCGCTCCGCCTGGAGCCTCTCGAAATTACTGTCGGTCCCAAGCTCGAACAAAGGAGGAGGGTTAAGCATGGGGTTAGCGACTCCATCCTCTAGAATACTAACTCATTAAAAGTCACTAACCAGAAAAAAGATAATTCAGATATGAATATGTGTGTATCCCTAATTATTTTTTATCGTACCATATTTTTTTACATAACAGAGATCCGCGTATTATATCCATGCTTGGTCCAACTATCTACAAATCAAATCAGTTCCAGGTGATTTGAACATTTTTTTTCTTTTAAAATAGAATCAATTCAATGTAACTACATATAACTGCTGTTTTATGTATCATTAAGGACTTACTAGCGTAATTTAGGGTGATATCATTTATATTTTAATAATTTAAAGACAACTATATATTAAATAATTACATAGGAGTGTAGGTTTAGGCTTAAATAGTACGCTTCCGTTTTTTATATCCTTAAAAGAAAGTAATGTCGTTTGTTTCTTACTTGGGCAATTGGATTATTATTATTATTATTATTGTTATTATTATTATTATTATTATTATTATTATTATTATTATTATTACTATTGTTAGCGGTTAATTATTTTGTCCGCTCATTGACTATTTCTTCCATAGTCTATAGGATCGATGATCATCTGTTTTACTAAAGACAGTGAACGATGATCGATCACAAAAGACCTTAACGCCTATTAGTCCTTGATTTCTTTTCACCCTCGTATTCAGTTGAAAGACTAAGTTAGCAACTTTATTCATTCATGACTCAAAATTTATACAATCGTATATATCCAATATCTGATAGAATACTAATGTAAACAGGAAAATGCAATGCGTATATGATTATACGTATGTGAAACTGAACAACAATACTAACATAATGGGATATACTCATCCTTGATGAAAGTACATTAGCTTAACCAATTCATATACATCACTTTGACTAAGCAAGTAATCGCTTTGATCTCTCCTTTCTAGATTAATTCTGTATACCTTGTTTACGTAGATATTCATAATTTCATTTATTGGTTAATGATATATTCGACAGAATTAGTCTTTTCTGATTTCTAAACTGCCGAAAATGAAACATCAGTTTAAAACGTTATGACAACATTCCTTCCATTAATAAGCTTATCACTTAATTATATGACATTAAACTATAAATATTAATGAACATATATAATAGATACCAGATTGAGTGACATAATTTCAATTACTTTTCTAAACCAATTACATTACAATATATAATAGACACTTATTGTTTGCTGCTTTAAAAGTAACTATTTCCTATCTGAATGTATGACTTTACCTATTATAAAAACGAATGCCTCACAATAAAACCTAGGGAAAGTGGTTTTTCAACTTGTCATGAAGTAGACATTAACAGCGTTGGATGCCGGCTCAGTGTTCCAATAGTTAAGCGCTCGTGCGCGAGACTCATAGATCCTGCGTTCTAATCTCGCGGGGGAGGCGGGATCGTGGATGGGCACTGACGAGAAGTCCCACAGTAGGACGAAAAGGCCATCCAGTGCTTCTAGGTTTTCCATGGTGGTCTAGCTTCAATTGACTCATGATTTCAACAATTGAGATTTCTAAAATCCCCACAAAACCCATTCTGATAAACAAATTCTTTACAAAACTAATCCAATTAATCATTAGTAGAAACTACCCTCTCATATCCTAATCATTTCATTCAAATTTATACTACTTTAAATAATAATAAGTAATATAATTGATAATAAAAATTAAAATTAACATTATTTTTAGCTAGGAATCAATGTAGTTGAAGCTCGAAAATTAGTTGGAACTAATATCAATCCAATGATTACTGTAACCGTTGGAAAATCTGTACAAAAAACAGTTACTAAATATTCAACGAATTGTCCATTTTATGATAATTATTTTGCATTTGATTTTGCTCAACCTAAAATAAGTGTACTTACAGAAATAATTCGTATTCGAGTAAGTTACCATTTTATTATTATTATTATTATTATTATTATTATTATTATTATTATTATTATTATTATTATTATTATTATTATTAAGTAATTCACCATATTGATGGAGCTTTTTTCTCTGAGCTGGATGGTTTGGTCGTCGTTCAGAAGAACGATGAAAGCTCCACGACCAAACCATCCAGCTCAGAGAACAAAAATCCATCAAAATCATCCACCTGAGCTACAAATCTTCTCCACCATCTCATCATTCATCATATATCTGATATTCAGTTATTACAGATATCTGAAAATAGATCTAACAGTAAATAGATATCCTCTGAAGAACCAACGATAATTAGTTTACACTAAACAGTTGTTTCATTCTAGTTTCAGTTCTCTTGGTAGTGTGAACACGTGAATACATATAAAATCTAGTACACAGTCATGATATTTCATCACAAGCACAATACCTTAAAATGTTAAATTGAAATCAACTAGATCAACAATCCATTCCCATTCATTCTACGATGCATCGCGATCAACAAATGTCTTAGTCTTAAGATGAATGAATCCACATAGCATTGTTTTTCACTAAAATTCAAAGACGTCTTTTATTGAAGTTCATTACAAATTAGCACACTACTGATCATTATTTATCAAGATGTTTTGGTGAAAATATATTCAGAAATAAAATAAAATACCAAGTAGGTCGTTGTAAATATAATCGAATGTTTCAAAAAACACCATAACTTCATGATCGTCGAAATGGGTGTTGGATTTTAGGCAAGAATAGTGGAATAGTTAGTAAGTTAAGCAAAATGATGATTCACGCATTACATATTTGCTATTAGATATATAGAAAAAATCAAATTTTTGATTGTGTCAAAATTTCATACCTCAGCTCAGATAATAAATAGTAGAGATACTATAGTGTGGGTTACTTATATCCACATAAGTAGTTTATAACGGTGGTCAGGCATAGAATGCATTTCAGTAGAAGATCGATCAAGAAACGACGGAAACGGAACGCAGTTGTTATAAAAATGCATGAACAATGAAATCTGAGACAATGGACTGATATTTGCAAAAGGAACAGTTAAGTTTGAGATGATGGATTATCATTTTTCAAATTAAATATTTACTATTTGGTTCTCAGATTTTAGTGTGATGCTCTGTAATTTCGTGTCAAATACATTCGATTGACCCCACTTATGTTTTTGTTCACTACAATACAACAATACTTAATTCATGAAGTAAGATTTTGTTTATCGGATTTTAACCCTCTCAACACGGTAAAGTTTATAGGTAGTATGATAATCACGTAGTGATATATTTAAATCTAAATCCGACTAGAAAGTAAGTTATCTATTTAGTGAACTAATATACGGTGATTTTAACGGCTTAGTGACACTCATTCATTAGTTACTCACCTTACTCATATACTTTTAGCATATTTTGTAAAATTTTAGTCAGATGAAACATATATCTTTATATTATTATTAGGTATTTAATATGCGATCTCATCCATTAGCCCGTCTTTTACCTGGTAAATTGATCGGTGAATTTATTACTGATGTACAAACAGTTTATAATGAAAAAGGTATGTTCAGTTTCTTTACACTTTTGAAACTTTTCAGTTAATCATTCAGTAATTAAAATAGTAGAGTTAGAGTATTTCAAAATTTTCAACGAAGTGGTCTGCTTAAACCTCTGGGCTAACTGTTCCTGCTTTCTATATATTTCAAGTTGTTTGTTTTAATACGTAATTATATCTATTAATCGTATAACCTATTAGGGTGCATTTCTGAAAAGTGTACAACCTTTTGTTGTACAAGATACCGAAGGCCCAATCAAAGATAATGTAGTTGCTGGCAATATGAAACGGAAAAAAATGTCGATTAATTGGACTACAAGCATCTAGTTGGCGATCACTCAGTACTGACACTCAGGTCAATCAGCAATCGACAAGCACATTGAAATCGATTCAAATTATCAACCAGTCAGGAAAATTATGCACAAACATAGGAACAAAAATTAAATCAATAGGAGATAAAACCAAAACAAGATCCAATCAACATCGAAGTGTACAGGACAAGCTGTGAACCACATGTGGAGGAATTCGAACGCTTTACTTCTATCTGAAGTTCGTGCTAATGATGTTGTTCAGAAGAACGATGGAAGCTCCACAACCAAACCATCCAGCTCAGAGGACAAAACTCCAGTAAAAACAAATGTACTACATATGAATACATTACAAAGTACTTCAGGATAGATATTAAAAAGAAAGTAATTTGTGAAGAAACATTCAACTTCCTTTAAGTGGTAACTTTAAACTTAAGATGACTGAGACTCTATTCATCAAATACAAGATTGAATTATGTCCATTTATCTTCGGATTATTATGAAAACTATTTGTATCTTCATTTCGTCAACTTTTCCACACTTTTAAATTTTATTAAGTATTAACCATACGTTAAATCCTTACGGTAACATTTTTATAAAAAGAAAATAATCTAATAACCGTGAACAATAAAACTGTATGGATATTTGTGCAGATCAATGTTAACTGGTGAATTATGATCATTAGAAAGTAATGTAGAATGTGAGAAATATCAGATACATATAATGGAAAGGTACAGTTTGATTACGGAGTCCGATATCCATGATTGGTAGTTCTTAGTAGGTGAAACAATTTTTATAGTTGTCTATGGTAACATATGAGACTTGAACCAACCGGTTATCTTTGTTATTTAAAAGATGCTTCTTTATAAAGTAATATGGTAGTGATCTCATCGGTACCTTATACCTTTTTACTTGACATAAGAACAAGTAGCATAATCTTTATGCATGAAATTTAGGGATGACAGGTTTTTTGATTTAAGTGACTGTCCGTGTACTACAATGGTGTTGGTAGCTAGTCTAAAAATCTGAACAAAAAGATTTAAGAAAATCTTTTATCATTGTTGTGATTCAAGTTATTCCTGATGATCGAAAATTTCTTTGTAAGTGTAGGTCATAAGCTTACATTAATCATCCATCGTGTCGTTTGTAAACGCTGTTTGTCGCTACTATCTATTGTTCAGTGACATCGTTACAGTGGCTCCGATCCTAAGAAGATGTTTTAACTTATCAGCCGCACGTAGTAAAATTTATAACACGATTAGTGGGAGTAAAATTGAAGAACAAAACCACTCAATCAAAAAGTCAATGAAACCATAGAGTGACTGCTTTTTTTTACCTATGCTGAATGGATCTCGAATCTACCCATAGTAGGGTTTGACAACTAATTTTCCGCTGATTTATATCCACTATTAAGCATCTAAAAGTCGGAAACCAATTGACTGAGAAGTAATGCACTTAAATCACTCAACAAGTTAAATAACAAAGGTATGTAACACCAAAAACTGGAAGTAGCTGAAGGAACGCTAAAATTCAAGAAGCATAGGATACGGTGAGACTATAATTTATGAACGACCTTTGAGCAACGCTAAAGTGACGTTGAGAGTGTCTGCCTACTTACTAGGGCTAAATGAGGGTTATAAAGCAGTTTGAAGAATAAGGATTATAATTTACAGTTGATGTTTAGGGTTAGAATTAGATTTATGGTTTTCATCACGAAATGACATCAGCTATAATGCCAAGACTCTATTTAGCAAAATAGGTAAATGGATTTCGCGTCAATATCTAAGACCTATTATCGTAAATCTGATTGGTTCGCCCATGAATTATAGTCTCGCCTACGATACTACATTGAATCACTTGCTGATTGATGGGATAATTTAACAATTGAGCTCTATCGTAATTCGACTAAAATCAAAGTATGATTCACTAAGTCTGCTCAATCATACCACGACCCTGAACTTCCTGAGCACGGTCATATAGCGTTATGGGTATACGTTATCAATAAATACCACACCATAAGTGAACACTTGTGTTGATTTTCTTGTGTAATGTTAGTGATGTCAACTTTTATTGAACTTACTTACTTGCTTACGCCTGTTACTCCCAATGGAGCATAGGTTGCCGACCAGCATTCTACAACCCATTCTGTCCTCAGCCTTCTTTTCTAGTTCCATCCAATTCTTGTTCATTTTTCTCATGTCTATCTCCATTTCTCGGCGTAATGTGTTCTTTGGTCTTCCTCTTCTCCTTTGGCCTTGCGGATTCCATGTGAGGGCTTGTCTTGTAACGCAGTTGGGTGCTTTCCTCAATGTGTTTCCTATCAACTTCCAGCGCTTCTTCCTGATTTCTTCCCCCACTGGGATCTAGTTGGTTCTCTCCCACAGTAGGTTGTTGCTAATAGTGTCCGGCCAATGGATCTGAAGTATTTTGCGTAGACAATTGTTAATAAACACTTGTATCTTCTGGATGATGGCTTTCGTAGTTCTCCAGGTTTCTGCCCCATACAGTAGAACTGTCTTGACACTTGTATTGAAAATCCTGACCTTGGTGTTGGTTGACAGTTGCTTTGAGTTCCAGATGTTCCTCAGTTGTAAATATGCTGCTCTTGCTTTGCCGATCCGCGCCTTCACATCTGCATCAGATCCACCCTATTCGTCGATGATGCTGCCCAAATACGTAAAGGTTTTTACATCTTCCAAATCTTCTCCGTCAATTGTGATTGGATTGGTGCATTCTGTGTTGTATCGGAGAATCCTGCTTTTCCCTTTGTGTATATTGAGACCTATTGCTGCTGAGGCTGCTGCCACACTGTTTGTCTTTCCTGCATCTGTTGTTGCGTTTGGGATAGAAGGGCCAGATCATCTGCGAAGTCTAGATCATCCAACTGCATCTTAGATGTCCATTGTATTCCGCGCTTCCCTTCAGACGTTGACGTCTTCATGATCCAGTCGATCACCAGGAGAAAGAGAAAGGGTGAGAGTAAGCAACCTTGCCTAACACCGGTCTTCACTTCGAACGACTTTGTCAACTGTCCTCCATGCACAATTTCGCAGTGTCATCTATCATATGAGTTCTGTATGATATTGACTATCTTCTGAGGCACGCCGTAGTGTCGAAGAAGTTTCCATAGTGTTGTTCTGTCCATGCTATCAAATGCCTTTTCGTAGTCAATGAAGTTGATGTAGAGTGGTGAATTCCATTCAATTGATTGTTCCACAATGATCCGTAGAGTTGCGATTTGGTCTGTACACGATCTATCCTTACGGAATCCTGCCTGTTGGTCACGAAGTTAAGCGTCTACGCAGTCCTTCATCCTGTTTAACAATACCCTGTTGAAGACTTTTCCCGGTATTGAGAGAAGAGTGATGCCCCTGTAGTTATCACACTTTCTGAGATCGCCTTTCTTCGGTATTTTGATCAGAAGTCCTTCTTTCCAGTCTGTTGGTACTTGTTCCTCATCCCAAATCTTATTGAAGAGAATGTGGAGTATCCGTGCAGTTGCCGCTACGTCTGCTTTTAGTGCCTCTGCTGGGTTGTTGTCCGGTCCTGCTGCTTTGCCACTCTTGATTTGTCTGATGGCCATGCTGATTTCTTCAATTGTTGGTGGGCTAACATTGATTGGGAGGTCCGTGGGTGCTGCTTCGATGTTGGGTGGGTTCAGTGGAGCTGGTCGATTCAAGAGTTCTTTGAAGTGTTCTACCCACCTGTTTTGTTGCTCTTCAATGTTGTTGATTACTTCGCCTTCCTTGCTTTTCACTGGTCGTTCTGGTTTGTGGCGATTTCCAGAGAGTTTCTTTGTCGTGTCATACAATTGTCTCATGTTTCCTTCTCTTGCAGCCTTTTCCACCGTCGTTGCTAAATCTTCCACATATTTACGTTTGTCGGTTCTGATGCTCCTCTTCACCTGTTTGTTTACTTCTGTGTATTCAGCTTGTGCCTTGGCTTTTTCTGCTCTTGTTCGACTGGTATTGATTGCTGTCTTCTTGTTCCTTCTTTCTTGAATCTTATCCAGTGTATCAACAGTGATCCATTCCTTGTGATGGTGCTTCTTGTGGCCCAGGACCTCATGACATGTTGAAGTGATTGCCTCTTTGATCCCCTTCCAGTTGCTCTCCACAGTAGTTCCTTCTCCATTGAGTAGATCATGAAAGGCCTGGAACTTGTTGCTGAGGACTATCTTGAATTTGTTGAGTTTGTTAGTATCCTGAAGAAAGGGCGTATTGAACTTTTGTGATATTGTCCGCCCCGTTGTCCAGTGTTTCTTGAGTTTCAATTTCATCTTGGCGACCAGTAAGTGATGATCTGGTGCTATATCAGCTCCTCTCTTGGTTCTCACGTCCTCTATAAACCTCCTGAACGTTTTGTTGATGCAAATATGGTCGATTTGGTTTTGTGTAGAGTGATCTGGTGAAGTCCATGTGGTTTTGTGTATGCGTTTATGTGGGAATATTGTGCCGCCTATGACCAGCTTATTGAGGGCACATAGATTTGCAAATCTCTCACCGTTTTCGTTTCTTTCTCCCAGTCCGTGTCGTCCCATGATGTCTTCATATCTAGTGTTGTCCGTTCCAACATTGGCGTTGAAATCTCCCATCAGAATGGTCAGGTCCTTTGTTGGGCACTTCTCGACGATTGACTGCAGCCTATTGTAGAATTGATCTTTAGCGTCTTCATTGTAGTCGTTGGTAGGCGCATAGCATTGGATGATGTTCATTGAAATACCCTCTTTCTTTGTTTTGAACGAGGCTTTGATGATCCTTGGTCCATGAGATTCCCATCCTATAAGTGCATTTTGTTTGGACAGCATCAATGCAACTCCTTGTGTATGTGGTGCATTTTCTTCTTCATGGCCGGAGTATAACAGGAGCTCTCCTGTAGTTAGTCGTTGTTGTCCAACTTGTGTCCAATGTGTTTCACTGATCCCAAGTACCTCTAGGTTGTATCTTCTCATTTCTGCAGCAATTTTGAAGGCTCTCCCGGTGTCCCACATTGTACGAACATTCCATGTACCTAAATAAATGGTCGCTCTGGTTGTCAGAAGGGGCATCGGCCTCGTAACTTCCGAAGGGATTCGGCTTTCATCATGAGGCGTCATAATTCTTCTAAATGAAGACCTTCTGACTCCCAGGGCAGAGTTTAAAAGGTTTGAATAATTTTCTCTGGTTAGCGTTTTTTTTAGCGAGTTAGTTTTCTACGGGATGGGGACGCTAACCCCATGCCCAACCCTCCTCCTTTATCCGGGCTTGGGACCGGCAGTAGCCCCCAGAGGGACTCCAGGCGGAGTTAACTTTTATTGAAACTTACCTTCAAGTCAAACAAAACCAGCTGATTATTGATAAAGATAGTTATTTTTATGAATTTCACAAACATGTTTAAAGTTCTTAAGTTCAACTGTATTTTAACTTTATATTTTAAAACAGATCATGCAGTATTAAATAAATGGGCAGTGATTATCGACCCCAAAGATCCATGGAAAGGTCCTACGGGCTATGTTAAACTTGATATGCATGTCATAGAAGAAGGGCACCAAGTTAAAGTAATTTTATGTTTATTTAGGTATTTATGTATTATTCATAAATGTAAAAGCTTCAAAAAATTATGCTGAGTTATTACAAACTATCAGTAAAAATGTTTATTGTCAAGATATGGACTATCGATAGAGCTTGATTTTTAAATGTCACCTAGGAAGTTTAAGTGGTATAGTATAAGACTGAATCAATCAAGATCTAGAGGGCGATTTCAAGGTCATGACATACATGACTATCGACTATGTGATGAATAATTGTAGTGAGAAAAAAGTCACTGAATTAAGATCTTAAAGTAAGGGTTAAGGTAGATGGTTAGATTAGGCTAGGTATAGAATATTTCTAATCTTAATCCTAAACCTTATACACTAATCTTAACTTAGCACTTTAATGGATAAAATCCTTTAACCGAGTTAGAAAAAATTATAAATTATAATTAACAAAGTCCAGAATGTAAATACTTTTTTGTTTATTATAAATCATTTACTAATTATTCCTGTTTTCTGATTGACTGAGAGGGCTCAGAAGTTTAAAAAAGACATTTTTTCCATCAAGGACTAATCATTGATCATAGTAAGGCTCGGATACCACTTTCATTAAACCATAATTTTACTCAAAGATGGATGGACGCGCATTTCGTCGTATCTGGGACTCGTCCAAAACAACAATGGGAAGATACTAGTAAAACAACACCAAGTGAACATAATTTTAATGTTAGCAAGTTATCTAAGACATTAGTTAACATTTGATGTATTTAAATTACTCAGTAAATTTGCTATGTTTGAAGAGACTACGATCTCACCTAAAACCGGCGAACGGAATGACGTTCAGTAACGCAAAACCAGGACGCAATAAACTATTGCACTTCCCCCCACAGACCTGGTAACTAGAGGGAGAAGACCAGTTTCAGAAAAGGGAAATGTATATTCCATAAGTAGCCCGGAACTACGAACAAATAAGCATACAACCCAAGCATATATATATAAAGTATGAAGATGACCTAGGGAAATGTCAAAAAATAGCGTATTAAAAGAGGAAATGAACCAATGATATTTAAGGTCCTTTCAAGTGGAAAGTACAAACTAAAGGTAAAAGTGTGCGCTTTTGGCGCGAAAATGAGAAATTCAAATTTTCAAAATAAAATTACAAAAATAAGACGCTTACCAAGTGATTTGCTGAGGATTTAACACCCCCAACCGAATTAACCATTAATTTTGATTTATCAGTATAGGGGTTGTGGAGATTATTAAGTTTTTGATTGAGATCATGAACCGATTGATGTTAGACCACCGTTGGAAACCTGGAATCACTGGACGGCCGTTTCGTCCTACGTTGGGACTCAGCAGTGCGCATTCACGTCGACTGGTTGATGCTAGACACTAACACCATTGGATGCCGGTTTCCCTAAACTGATGATTAACATGTGTGCTCACAAGCGACTAGCTTCGTGAGGGAATTCTCAGAGTTCTGGTGAGAAGCCATGACCAGTGAAGCTAATCCGTGACGGGTAGAGACAGGTATCTACCTCATTACAATGAAGATGGTCCCGCAATTTCGTGGATTGGTCGATGTTAGACACTAACACCATTGGATGCCGACTTAGTGGTCCAGTAGGTTAAGCGTTCGCGCGCAAAATGTGGAGGCCATTGGTTCGAATCCCACAAGCAAGATCGTGGATGCGCAATGCTGAGGAGTTCCAAAATAGGACGGAACGGCCGTCTAGTGTTTCCAGATTTCTAACGATGATCTAACATCAATCGGTTCATAATCTCAACCAAAAATGTTTTGATTTAATTCTGTACTAATAAATTTTAATTCATATAAGAAATAACTAACTTCGTTTCTTTTTTTATTTATAAAAAACGAAACTTTTAGCGAATTCGAAGAGAGAAACCTGATCATGATGAAATAATCGAAAAGTAAGTCTTTATTGAGTTTTCTATTGAGTCGATATGACTATTCATATTCACACTTATAACAATGTTTAACCAGAATTATGACTCAAGAAGAATGAATAAACTTGTTTGTCCGGAAGATAGAATAAGCTATATGGGCTTCACATAGCAACCAACACTATAATGAAACACATCAAATCTAATTCCTAATTCTAACATTGAACCGTAAATCCTAATACTTATTACTCACATTAGTCTATAACCTTCATTTAACTCAAGTAAGTAGGTGGATATCCCAAGTTCATTTTAGCATTGTTCTTTCATCTTCCTCTCCTCATTTGGCCTTGAGAATTCCATGTGAGGGCTTGCCTTGTGAAGCAGTTGGGTGCTTTCCTCAATCTGTGTCCTATCCACTTCCATTGCTTCTTCCTAATTTCTTCGTCAGCTGGAATCTGGTTTATTCTTTCTCATAGTAGGTTGTTGCTGTATCTTGGCTTTCATAGTTCTCCAGGTTTCCGCCCCATACAGTAGAACTGTCTTGACATTTGTATTGAAAATTCTGACCTTAGTGTTGGTTGACAGTTGTTTTGAGTTCCAGATGTTCTTCAGTTGTAAATATGCTGTTCTTGTTTTGCTGACCCGCGCCTTCACATCTATATCAGATCCACCCTGTTCATCAATGATGCTGCCCACATATGTAAAGGGTTTTACATCTTCCAAATCTTCTCCGTTAAGTGTGATTCGATTGTGTCGATTGTGTATTTTCGGCTTCAAAGAAAACTTATACTTTTTTCAAGTATCCTTATCGAATAGTTAATTATTCTAAGATGATTTCATAGACTGATTAAAATTGCAAACGATCGATTGTTCGGCTACATTATCCAAAATCTCCAATATCCTTTCAATCTACAATCTTGATCAGTCAATATTTCATACTATTCAAAATCAAGCTGATAAATATTCACCAATGTAGAAAGTAACGCCGTTTATCCAAATAAACATTTTCCTAATAATCTATTGTATTCTCTTCAATTTTTTTTCTCAGTCATTTACTATTACCACGGTATACTGGTATGACACAAAAACGTATTATGCTCTCCATGAAAGTCAGTATATATCAAGCTGAAGATTTGCCTCCAATGAATACAGAAATAAGCAATAAAATCAGAAAAGCATTTGTTGGAGAAAATACACCAAATCTTGATTCATATGTGGAAGTTTCTTATGCTGGACATACAGTAAGCATTGTTATCATTCTGGTTATGTGTTTTGGTTTTTCTTAAGATTGTGATTTCAAATTTTTTTTAAAATTATCTCATCATCAATAAAAATGAATGAAACCGAAGGTTTTAGGTTCGAGTCCTACGTTCGGGATCGTGGGTGCGCACTGCTAAGGAGACCAATATTAGGACTGTTGTAACGTGAAAATGCTGCTGATTGGAGGTTAGCTAATTATCGATCGGACCAAAGACGCGCAAACCCATATGAACGACCTAGAGTCCCGACTGGCCCTGCTTCCCTGTCTAGCCCAGCCAGTTGAGTCCAGGACGCAAGTCTCAGCCTCGGAGATATGAATCATTATATTTCAGACATACTCTGTTTATATACCAACCAAACAGACCACATCGTACCATAAAATAGAAAACAACATTTGTACAATATTTAACAAGTGAAATAAATATTGACCAATAGGGAATGTCCATTTAAAGTCCAAGGACACCATTAGACTTAACATGATAATTATTAGTATATTTTTCCGAATATCCTAACAAGGACGAAACAGCTGTCGGACGCTTCCAGGTTTTTAATGGGGGTCTGATATTCATCGATTCACGATTTAATAAAAAAAATCACAGAATTGTAAACATGTATTTAGTTCATATTTTTTAATTTCGAATCTGATATAACAATGAATAGTGTTATGTACTCGGTCATGAGTCACACTTTCTGTGTGTATGGCTTCGTTATACTGAGCTAATATTTAAATTAAAATGAGTGGGCAAAGTTCAAATCTGTTACTTAGTGGTCAAAAGTTAAGTACCTTATTCTCAATAATAAATTCACTGGAATAACACACCTGTAGTCAAGTGAAGTCAATATTTTTTTCTGGCTTCTTGGAATGTTTATGTATGACTAAGTAGATAACTAACTTAGATGATCTATGTCGAATGATTAGGGGATTGCTCGAGTTGAACGGTAATGGTGTGACCAACCAGCTAACATTGAGGTCACACCTCATAGTTAGTACCTAACGTGGATTACGTTTCGTCGTATCCAAGTACTATGGCTTCTTTGATGACCGTACAACACAAACGATGTTATTACAGAAGTATATTAGTAAGAGTAGGTACAAGGAACAAAGTGCAACCACTGCTGCAATTGAGATTAATTAAACATTATTTGAATAGTTTTTTAATCAATAAAATAACATTAGCTAGAGAACCAACGAAAACCAAAAACAATCGACTGTGATAACATTGATTTCTCGTCTTCCCAGTCCCCAGAAATCTTCTACTCATGAACCCAGAATAAAAAGCAGAAGGTAAAAAACTTGGAAGAAGCTTTACTTCGAATGTTGAATCATGTAAAAACATGAATGTTATCGTAGGGTAATAAGAGTCTAAAACCTTCTGGAAAACCTACTAAAGTAACTAATGAACACTGTAATTGTCCAACCTGTGTAAGGAAACAGTAATCAGTTACTTTCTAGATTTTGCTTGAGAGCTTTCAATGAGTGAATGACGTATCTTTGAGGCTTTTACTGGCTTTTAAAAGACTTCTTAAAGAAGTTAGCTAAGATTTTTAAGTGATGAACATTTTTTTTCGTTCAAACTGATCTTCTAATTCATAGCTCTTATTCAATATGGGATAAGATTTGATGCCTTCATATGTCACCTAATTCTGACTTCGGCTAATTTATGTTGTGTTGTTCATCTTGGAATAAAGATTGTTTATTATGATGAAAATAGTATTCGAGATGATTCAAATGAACAAACTGAACTTCTATGCTCGAATAGTGAGTAAAATTATGATAAAATGTTTGACTGTCAACCTTCAAGTTACCGTTTGTTTAAATTCATAGGAAATTCAAGATATTATTTGGCTTGTATCTTCCCATTGAGGTTTAAGACTGCAATTGATCAGTCTCTTATTGGCATATGTGAACACTGTGCGTATTCCTCGATATTGCCTTAATTCACAAACTTTTTGTAAGCAATGATGGATAGTGGCTAGCAGTAGAATCCAGGTTGACGCGCGTTTTCTCCTATTTGCGACACGTCAGCTGGATGTACCTGCATCTCAGAATCGATGTTCACTCCGGAACTCGAACCCAGTACCGTTCTCTTCAAATGCCATCGCGTTATCCATTTAGATACTGAGTTCTGATAGCCACTTACTTGTGCTTGTGCTTACAAAAAGCTTGTGAATTAAGGCAATATCGAGGAATACGCACAGTATGCATATATGCCAATAACAGACTGATAAATTGCAGTCTTAAACCTCAATGGGAAGATACAAGCCAAATAATACCAAGTAAATTTAAATTCACCTCATTGCACAAGCAAGTGGCTGTTCAGGACTCAATAGCTACGTGAATAACGCGATGGCATTTGAAGTGAACGGTATTGGGTTCGAGTCCCTGAGTGAACATCAACTCAGATGCAGGTACATCGGTCTGACGAGTCCCAAATAGGACGGTTGGACCCTCAGAGTGAACATCAACTCTGAGATGCAGGTACATCGAGCTAACGAGTCCCAAATAGGACAAAACGCGCGTCAAACTGGATTCTACTGCTAGCCACTATCCATTATTGCCTACAAAAATTCAGGGTATCTCTTTCAAATTCATTGATCATCCTTAACTATTCAATAATTGTATCTAAAAGGATGAATAGTTATTCATATCGATTTTGATTTCCAATGAAATTTATTCCATTCACTTCTTTAAATATGATAGGCTAGAACTAAAACAGAACGATATAATTATAATCCAATATGGAATGAAACAATTGAATTTTGTGATTATTTTCCAACATTCACTCGAACTATTAGAATTAATGTTAGAAATGGTGGAATAAAAGGTGAACTAATTGCTACACGTTTAATTGATATACGTGATATTATGTGCCATATTACTGGTCGTAAGTTGAATTTTATAATTACCTATTGTTTTACATTGATTTACTTGGTTAATTATTTTATAATGTTTATCAATGGATAAACATCTTGGAGAAAGTCAAAGACCAGAAACAATATAAGATGTTCAGTGTTTCATGATATTCAATAGTTTTTATTCTATGATGAACACGAAAGAAATTAGAAAGACAGTTTTTAATACATTTAGTAAGTAACTAGTAGTGAAATTAGCAACTGAATATAATTAGAAACCATTGTCCAGGACAGAGTTGGATGAAGAATGCTGATGAGTAGTGACCTATGCTTCTCCACGAGGGAAAACAAGCGTAAGTAAGTATGTAAGTGGTATTAGAATCGCAAATGCTCATTTTGTTCCATTAGGGATTTGTTAGCTGGATAAAAACTGCATCTGAATGTTGATGTTCACATTGCAACTTGAACCCAGTCTCTATGGATTAATACTTCAAACTGTTGTTCACTAAATTACTGAGTCTAGATAGATTCTAACTTATTCATAAGGAAAAGAGAAAGGACAGTATACGATAAACATGATGAACTGTGATTTTTATTTCATGAAAATCTATTATCTACATTACGTACAAGCTATTAAAAGCAAATTATATACAATATTGAGTTAATTCATTGGGATATTACTGATATGTGAACCAGAATGATAGTGATTGATTGTTTGCTTAGTCAGACATGCAGATAGTCTGACAGGAGTTAGATGAGTTATATATTCTGCTATCCTTATTATTATTATTATTATTGTGATTGTTGTTGGATTGTGTCAGGTTGTTGTTGGTATATTGGTGTGGAAATATACTTACGTTCTAGTCAGGTTAATCACGTGTCCTTAATCTGAGTTATGTTGAAGTCCTGTAGAATAGACACTTGGATGGAATCTAGTGTAGATATTTGTCTAAAGTAAATTGACGTCCCATTCGTTTAGACGTGGAAAACCGATCGTTATAACAATTACAAAATTATAATCATTTTTATCATTGTAAAAAGAGAATGATTGAGCTGAGAAACCTTTTTACCAGAAATTTTATTTCCGAAGCAATACAAGTGTTAATGTAAATTCATTTTTGTACTGTTTATTTGAATCTTGTCATTAATGTTTAACATTGTAATTGATCAGTCTTTTATTGACACATGAGCATCCTGTACGGATTATCCTGACATTGCCTTAAATCACAAGCATTCTCAGCAAAGATGGAAATATCGAGGCAACGCGTACAGAGTATACATATGTCAATAAGAGACTGATTAATTATAGTCTTAAGCATCAATAAAAAGATTCAAATAAACAATACAAAATTAATTTAAACTTCACCCCATTGCACAAGATAATGGCTATCAAGACTCAGTAGTTAAGTGAATAACATGGTGGTGTTTGTAGCCAACGCTACTCGCTTCGAGTCTCGGAGTGAACATTAACTGTGGGATGCAAGCACATCGAGTTGACGAGTCCCAAATAGGACTCAATTCTGGATTCCACTGGTAGCCATCATCCATCTCAACTGTTAATGATGTATTTACTTTGAAAATGATTATTCATAATTTGGTCATCAGTAAAAATATTTTGAAAAAAGATGATCAGAAATTATTAGTTCTGATCAAAGACTAACTACAGAGAGGTTAATAAATAGAAATATCATTCTAAGAGAATTGATCAGATTTGTAGTAAACTGTAACGTGTGACTGAAATTTCCCCAACACTATGAATATTCATTTAATATGTCATATTGTCCAGCTAATGAGTAAATGTTGGATGTTGAAGAATAGTTTTCTTTACAGATGTCCTTTTAAGAGACTGAAGTTATTCAGAAATGTATGTGATGAATATGTTCAGTGTGGTGAATCACAACAGTCACAAATATACAGAGCCTGAAATGATATCACTACTAATAGTGTCGTAGGGAAATTTAGACCTGAAAATTATTTATTTATTATTTTCTTTCGATACTAGTTATTCGAATTTATCAAAAACAATCCAATTGTCCATTTAATTCAAATCTTTTTGATTGCGATCATAAACCGATTGATGTTAGACCACTTTTGAAAACCTAGAAGCACTGGATGGCCGTTTCGTCCTATTATGGGACTCCTCAGCATTGCGTGTCTACGATCCCGTCTCGCGAGATTCGAACCAAAGGCTCCCAGTTTCTCACGCGAACACTAGACCTCTATTGAAACTGAATGAAGCCAGAAATAATTTCTAGGTGCCCTTAAGTTAGTTTTACAATGATAAATCAAACTCATTAACTATATCAAATAATTCAAATGGTTTTGGATGGAATAGAAGAAGCTTTCGCTTAACGGACTTCCATACCTAATAGCAGTGAATCAGCGATACCTCCACATAAGAACTTTAATATATTATCCCTGAAAGAGGAATAAACTTCTCGTTTGTAAAGCGCACGTCGTAATCAATCATTCATGAAAAATATACATTACTGTATAACTGCTTAACCTAAAAATGAGACAAATAATGAACAACAGATTCTCTAATGACAAATAATAACAACAGTACGAATAAAAATGGTCAATTATTGGTCGCTGAAATGTGCCTTTCTAAAAAAATCTTCCCATGACATAACATATATTTCATAACCTCTATTGTGTTTTACATCGTAAGAATATCTTTGTAAATATTGTGCTATTCTATAGTTTCTCAACAGTTATTTAATTTCACAGGGGGTTTCGTGGGTATTATAGCAATTTTAATAGTTGAAATCATGAGTCAATTGAAGCTAGATCACCATAGAAAATCTGGAAGCACTGGACGGCCGTTTCGTCTTACTGTGGGACCTCTCAACAGTGCGCATTCACGATCCCGCCTAGCGGGATTCGAACTCCAGACCTATCAGTCTCGCGTGCGAAACGGTCGTCCAGTGCCTCCAGGTTTTCCATGGTGGTCTAGCTTCGATTAACTCATGATCTCAACTATTAAAATTATTTAATTATGAAATAAGATACTTAATTATGTTTATTTCTTAGGTAATTTTCCACATTTTGGACCATCTTGGATTAATCTTTATGGAACTCCACGAATCTATACATATGCACAAATGTTACGGCCAGAAGTAGAATTAAATCAAGCACTTGGAGAAGGAGTTGCCTATCGTGGTCGACTACTTCTAGCTATACGATCAATGGAAGATGAAGATGTAGTTCGAATTGGTACTAGTAAAGTTGTTGCAAGTCCTGTTTCAGAGGTAATTTGAGGTTATCCAGGAAATGAATACATATCTTAGTCACTGTAAACAGAATGTCTCTGTCGTGTTTGATTGATAGATTAGTTGAAGAAAAGATACTTTTCGAGGTATTTATATGAAGATATTTACAGAACACCTGAACACATGCTTATACCCTATTACACATAAGAAACAACGTGAAGGCACTAAATGAATGCATAAGTTTTATGATATGGTCCTCCATGTTTGTGTAGAGGCTGGCCCTGTGTCAAGCCCATATAGGTTATTCTGGCTTCCGGACAAGCCAGATTATCCATTCTTCTCAAGCTACATTTTGACCTTGTCACTTATTCGCTTATCGACCTTTACTACTTTTATATGAGCGCATGTGTGTGTGCATTTCTTATACGACTCATTACATGTCTGTAAATTATTTTGGTCTGACTATAAATATCGATTCAAGCTTAATTAAGTTGGTTCACTTACCTTCCCTAGTGCGCGTCATCTCATCTTGCTTCACTTTACGATCAACGATTGTACGAAATATGCTTATTCAAAAATCAATTATCGTATTTGACTTATTTAGTTCCGTTACCAACGCGATTTAAGTCAATGGTTATATACGAGTATTGGCGACTTGTATATTTCGAGCGACCTACCTGTAGTCAGATCTCGGGCTACTAAATATACATTCGAGACAGCTTACCATAGTAGTAACAACCTTTAAGTATTTAGCTTTATTATTAAAGTATCAGTAAATTTAATACTTACGAAACTGATGATTCAAATGATATGAAGCAGTCCGTTTTATGGATTGGTGGTTGGATGCAGTCAATAGGAAATTCTGGACCCAGGTTTCCTGCTATTTGGCATTCATCAGCAAGGTGTACATGTAGTCTTTAGCGACTGCCGCTCCTTGTGAAGTTTATACGTGTGTAATGCAGTTTCAAATTCTAAGGTATCTGGGCCGCCACTGACCTCCCGTAGGTCGGAGTTATATTTCAAATTAATTGATTACCAATGTCATATCTTCCAAGCCCTTGTTAGTGCAAAACGACTTAATTTCCTGTCGACTACTTCCAGTTGCCAAGTTCTCAACACAGTGCACTAAATGTCGATTCCTTTAAACTGGTAGCCACACTGAAACTAAATCTGTCAAGTTTTATCAGAACTAAGAGGGACTTGACACACATAATATTGGTCACTACTTATTGATCTATTAACTATAGACGGCCTCTTATTGAGCTAGGAATTTGTAGAATAAAGTGGGAATTTAATCTTAAATAGAAATGATTATATGGTTCAAAGACAGTTCTGAAATTCAAGCGAATTGTTTGATGCAGTCATTGAGGGATTATGACAATAGCAAAATTCATGGAAAAAATATTTATTGATAGGTTGCTTCGTTAATATAGTAACACAGTTGTTAAAAACAATAAACAATGTATGGTGATCTTTAATGATGCTATTCAGACTAACTGTACTAGAAACAATGTTTTGAACAATGATCATTCTTATCAATAGGCCTAATAATAATATTTAAATATATTAGTCTAGTTGACTTGTTCTCATAACTCTAAATATTCATGGGCTTCACATAAGGGGAAACACAAGTAGAGAGTTTACTGGTTGGCTATCAAGCAACAGTTTGTATGCATTTTCATATAAGGTCTGTTAGAAGGGATTCTAAAAGCTTGACTGATAGGATGCAATCAGCAGTAAGCATTTTTACCGTACGAAATTAGTGTCAGTTTACAATAACAAAATAATGATCAGTCACCAAATATATCATCTTCCACATAGATTATAATTCAAAATGTAGGGGAAGTAATACATAGATTCTAAATTCGAGTTTGTTTTATATTTGCCAATTAAAAAAAATCAATGTTCAAATATATTCATTACTAAGTGACTGGGATTTCTTCCTGTTACCCATTCATCAGCCCGGCTCTCTTTTGACCATGACTATTTTAGTAGCCTGTTATTTTGACGCCAATTAGATTGGACGATGTGTTCGACGAACTCACCACTTAAGTGGCTATATATCTGACTCCATTTGGATCGTTTCTGATTACTATAAAATAATTGCTATCGAAATATACATCCTGACTATTCTCGTATATAATTATCGACTTAATTCACGTTAGTGTATAACGGAATTAAATAAGTCAAATACGAGAACGTATTTCGAATACGTGTATTTCATACAATCATTGATTCAGGAAAACAATCGAAGAAACGAAACGAAGAAAACGAAGTGAAGAGAGTGAAGCGAAATGACTTGTGGTAGCGAAGGCGTGTTAGCCAATTCAGTTTAATAAAGCATTAATCAGTATTTATTGTCAGACGAAAATAAGTTACCGGCATGTGATGAGTGGGAAAATCAATGTACACACATACGCTCATATGAAAAATGTCAAGCTTGATAAGTGAATAATTAACAAGGTCAACATGTGACTCAAGAAGAATGAATAGATTGGTTTATCCGGTATTCAGAATATACTATGTGGGATTGCTTAGCACTACAACTATACTCATTTTATGAAATTCGACCATTTTAATTCTTCAATTTATGATAGTACGTCTGCCTGTCATAATTAATGTTTTATAAAGAAGTGCATTGTTTACTCTACTGTAAATCGGTTCAAGTCTCGCGGGGGCGGGATCGTGGATGCGCACTGCTGAAGAGTCCCATATTAGGACGAAACGGCCGTCCAGTACTTCCAGGTTTTCCATGGTGGTCTAGCTTCAATTGACTCATGATTTCAACTAGCGTAGTTATGTGTTGGAAGTAGTAATGCAGAATAGAATAGATGATTTTCTAGCTACTATTTATTATAATCTTCCAGGGACAGAGTCCGATAGAGAATCTTAGTGGGTGGCCTATGCTATTCCATGAGTTGTTACAGTCGTAGGTAAGTAAGTAATTTATTGTAATGAAGAGAGTACGTAAGAGATGAAAATTAAAAGACGATAAATGCTTAAAATAAATTAAAAAGATTATTGCATTTACATTCAATTCTCACGTATAAAATGGCCAAGTACACTTTCTTTCTATATAAGATTAGTCAAGTTGGAAAATTTTGATAACGATCACCTCTGTAAATCAAAATAGAACTGATGTTAATTGTCTGTTTTTAAAATCAAAAAGATGACTGACAATTTCACTTATAGATAGTTTATCACATTTTAGATCTCTAGAATTCTAGAAACATGTTTAGTAAGCCTAACAATAATCATTCTCTATGTCCTTGTTAGATAATTAATTACAATGGATAAGAAACCGTCAAATACAATGAATCAATTATGTGTTGTTCTTGTTCTATTTCAAATGAGTAGTGTCGTTCTGTAAAATTAAAAAAAATATAGGTATATGTACATATATATAGATATAATTTAAAAGACCCCCCCCCTTTATTTCACTTTTATAGACTGTAGCAGGGAAAAAAAGTTTATACTTTTTATTTGCTTGTTTCTATGAAGCAAGTGTAATTGAGAAAAAACTTGGTGTTAAGAATAAACCAATCTCTTATGAAATCAGTTTTGGTAAGATAATATTGATAGTTTTATTGATTTTATTATTGTTTTTTTATTCATTTTAATATTTTGAATAATATTTCACTTGGCTTATTATGAAACATGTAAATCTTACCATCAGTAGAAGAGTTTCAACAAGACACTTCTTGATATGAAGTTTTATTCTTTTAGCTAGATGGTTCTGTTGAACGATATCATCAGTATAAACTTTAGGTAGAATAAAACTTTATCAAAATCATTCAGTTGAGCTAGAAATCCTCTCAAGCTACATCTCTTTACATGTCATGTTTTCTGAATGCCGGATAATAAACTAATACTACCAGGATAGGTTTCAGATGAGAACAAACTATTTTTGAATACATAGTGGGAGGGGGAGGGTTAAAAATACAACATACTCCCTTTAACACTTTTGTACGAAATCACAAAAGTTGAGTAAAGATCAATCTTATGATCTGTTTCAACTATATGTTTGGCAAGAGAGGATAATGGATGTTTATCATCTACTCTTATTGGGACATTTGATATTAATTGTTTTTGTAACCATTTAGGTACATGTTCAAGATACCCTAATTTGGAGATCACGATTTATCCTCCCTATGTATGTGTGACCACACACACATTTAAATTGGTAAACACAGTGGGATGTGACGCGATCGTTTTCATGTCTTTTAGGTTTTTGGTAAATCATAGAACTGTTTTTTCTTCAATAATGACTTTTGCAGTGTAGTACGGTTTATTAATAATTGGTTTAAGCCTTTGTTCCAATAAAAGGCTATTTGACTCATCTCTGAATGACAAGGTGATGCTGAGAGGTTTTTTGTGCCAAAGATATAATAGGTCTCACTATTCTATGACCTTTCCATCTATTTATGAATTTTGGAGGATAACCATTTCTCAACAAACTGACTTCGTCATCAATAGCGTCGCTTGTGTAAATACGATCAATCGTGTTAAGTAGGCCGCGTTTGTATTGAACTAAGCAATAACTATTATAAATAGGATACTGACCTGTCCAAGTTGGTTTTCTAGATATGAATAGTTCGACTGAACCATCTTTTCTACTTATAAGAAAAAAAAACTAGTCGTTCTTCTCCTCTACACATGAAAGATCGATGTGGTTTGTAAGTGTTAAGTTTATCCAATAAGCAATTCATATCCTCCTTTCTTTCACAGATAACTAAGATGTCATCCACATACCTTTTATAAAAGGATATGTTTTTGCTTAGGTCTTCAGTGAGACTTTTTTTATGTGCTATAAACAAGGTTCTGACAATCTATGTCTTCTTATTGCACTATTCAAACTTAAAATATTCATCAATAATAATAAATGAACTCATAAAGATGAAATAACTTTGTGAACACACTGAACATCTATCGTTTAATCGAAACCTAGGCTTTTATCTTATAGATGAATAAAAATCAGTAATTGGATAGTACTAGTATGAGGTGCATAGAATTACGTAACAGGAGTAAGTCGGTTGACAAGAGTACAAGTCTGAATCAAGTAATGTAATTAGGATATGTGTTACGGATGTTTCGCCACAGCTTATCACTAGACTGAATACTGTCTGGTATAGGATCAAAAATTATGACTAGGTATATTAGTAAATGGTAACAATCCATGAAATTATTCCCCATTGGTTTCAGACTAGTAATTTAAATGTTATCTATAATTATAATAACAGTTGAAATTATTCCATACCGTCTCCAAATCTAAAGCTTAGCAACATTTTATACTTTCATTATATGATCTCATTTGTCGATTTGAAACTATATAGAATCTTCAGACCATACGATTAAGTGACGCATAAAATCTGGTAGACAAAAGCGTAAGATTATCTGTAATGACAGTGCTATTATCACAAGCGTTTACGGTATAGGCCATACCAATGTGTAATCAAGGACAGATGTTTCCTTAAAGGTTATTTACGATAACATACCATAATCTCTGTGACACTCAACAGCTGTGGGAAAACTGAAAGAGTATAATAATAATCCAATAATAATTAAATTTAATGTTACAAGTTTGTGTATGTGCTTATTAGAACTTAACTGGTTACTGAATATCAATAAGTAGTACAAAAATACACAGAAAGGAATAGAATGTGTTAATTTTGTTATTCTACCTCGAAGTCTATTAATTTATCCGCTTTCAATTATTGATTGGGTGAATGATTTCCAATGAAAAATTGAAAACATGAAGTTTAGTGGATGGATCCTTTTTCAACAAATTCATCATCAAGTTACATAATCGTACATTGAGATGGGGGAGAAGATTTCTAGCTCAGATGGTTGATTTCGATGGAGTTTTGTTCTCTGAGCTGGATGGTTTGGTCCATCACAATCGTATATACATGCAGCTTTCAGCGTACGGACTTATAAACAGTTGGTAAACATGATGACATAATAGAAAAATCACAGTACTAAGTTACTTCAGGAGTTGCACACAAAATATTAGTGTTGTGACTTTTATCCGGGCTAATTACCATGTGACTTATTCGTTAATCGATATACGACTTATAAAATCTGAGCACTGTGCTAAATCAATGATGTATCAACCGGTATGAGAAGTCTAAAGTCCTTATTAGTCCTTTTTACTCCTAGCCCTTTCAGTTGAATCCAGAACACCTATATCAGCTTCCAATATACGAATCATTTATTTCAAAGATATCTGGTTTATATACAAGCTAAACAGACCACATTACACCATAAAATAGGGAATAACATTTGTACAAAATCAAGCCAAAAATGTGGCTGTGAATGTGGGAAATAGTGATTAATAGACTGGGCATAACTCAAGAATGGTAAATCGTATAATAATAGTTTATGGGTCAAAATAAAGTTTATGATAAAAGGAACATGAATATAAATAGTTTATTTACTTAACAATTATACAATAAGAATATATGTATAGTATCAGCCCATAAATGTATCCCAACGGTTACCATTCATTATTCTCGTAGGGATATAACAGTTAATAGGTTTGAACGGTTTGTAACGACAATGTTGAAATCGACGTGCGGATTATTTGAGCGATTAGAGTCGATGAATACTGAATGAATACGATATATAAACACTTTTTTGTTTGTTGTACATTCAAGTGTTAGCTCACATTGTTTCCATTATTGTTTTGAGTAAAAACCTCAAAATTTATCTTCTTTTCACAGGATTATATGGTAACCAGCTGGATGGAAAACGAGGTGGAGTTGAATTACAGACAATAGAACTTGCACAACCAAGTAAATGAATGTATTTCATTTTGAAAATAATTTGGTAAATATATACTTTAACAAAGAATCAGACAGATTTAGGTTGGCGTCTGTTTGATTTTTGTGATATAGAATAGCTTGTGAGTAATCAAAATCAAAACTTACTGATATTTAGTTACTAAGACATTTAAAACTGATAACATAGGAATACTGAAATACAGGGTCAGTAATTCATGAATGGTGAAAGAAAATTAACGGTTTAGAATAAATAAAATTAAATATCTACGTGTATATCAATGTGGCTGCAAAACATTCCCAACCATTATTCCAAAAACCCAGACAAAACCGACTGATGGTAAACTTAGACTTGAACCATGAATTCGACTCGCACCCTCACTTGCTTGTCCTCATGCCCGCTTGCTTTTCGGCACTACTCTTTCATGGTTTCTTAACATACCCGTAATTTTGGTTATCTGTGCGCGGTGCAATAATAAACTTAATATTCGCCTTTTGATTAATACTCCGTTGGAACATTATCTAGTGACGATTATCAAGATGAACTGTATAGGAAGTTTAAAGATTACATTGAATACCGACTACTACACTGATTAAGTTTATGTTATTCTAAAAAATGAATTAATCAGCTATTTATAAAGTTCATAAGATTAATTGGATTTGATTCTATTTAAAAGTCATTTACAGTATTTTTAAGCAAAGACGGATGGTGGCTAGCAGTGGGATCCAGGAATCGCGTTTCATCCTATTTGGGAATAGTCAGCTCGATGTACCTGCATCTCAGAGTTGATGTTTACTCTGGGACTCAAATCCAGTACCATTCGCTTCAAATGCTATCACGTTATGCACTTAGATACTGAGTCCTGATAGCCACCTGCTTGTGCAATGAGGTGAAGTTTAAATTCACTTGGTGTTGTTTTACTTGTATCTTCCTATTGTTATTTAGGACTACAATTGATTAGTCTCTTATTTGCATATGTGCATCCTGTGCGGACTGCCTCTATATTGTCTGAAGACTCAGCAGCTAAGTGGATAATGCGATGGCGTTTGAAGCGAATGGTACTGGATTCGAGTCCCAGAGTGAACATCAGCTCTGCGATGCAGGTACATCGAGCTGACGAGTCTCGAATAGGATTAAACGCGCGTCCTAGATTCCACTGCTAGTCACTATCCATCTTTTCTTAAAAAGCTTGTGACTTAAGGCTATATCAAGGCAATCCGCACAGGATGCATAAATGCCGACATGAAACTGATCAATTGCAGTCCTAAATAATAATGGGAAGATGTTCATTTGCCATAGTAAATTGTAATTACATCATATCATTCTATGACTTTATTATTATTACTATTTTATTACAGATAATACACGAGAACGGGTAGACTGGTGTTATTCAACCACAACACCACTGAATCCAACAACAGATGATAAAGAATATTATTATTTAAACTTTGGTAATAAAAAACCATGTTTATATTTAACTGGTTATTATGAAGATCATCGTTCCAGAATGTGTATACCAAACATTTTAGAGAAATTAAGTGAAGAATTGGTAAGTGGAAGTGAAATGTAAATTAAACGATTGAAATATTATGAAAATTGTTAGTTTGCCAATATTAGAAGAAAAAAAGATTTAACTAATATAATACCATGTACTCACTAGTGACTAGTTTGGTGAGGTAATTCTCGGAGTTCTAGTGAGAACCTGTGACCAGTGGAGTCTAAACCGTGTCAGGTAGAGAAAGGTATCTACCTCAGTTAATAGAAGATGGTCGCGCAATTTTGTGGATTAATTGAAGTTAGACATTAACAGTGTTGGATACCTTAGCAGTGGTCTAGAGGTTAGGCGTTCACGTGCGAAACTGGTGCTCTGGGTTTGAATCCCGCTTGTGGGATTATGGGTGCGCAGTGCTGGGGAGTCCCATACTAGGACGAAACGGCCGTCTAGTACTTTCAGGCTTTATTGATGGTCTAGCATTGATCGGTTCATGATCTCAATCAAAAATGTAACTAGCAGTGGGAATCCAGGATGCGCATTGGAGCTTGTCAACTGGGTGTACTTACATGTATTTGTAATTTACTGTGAGTTACTATATTAGGCTCATACACCTTATTCAAGCTTCTGAACAGGCCGATTTATCCATTCTTTTGAGTCACATTTTGACCTTGTTAATTATTCACTTATCAATCTTGACTGTTTTTACATGAGCGTATCTGTGTGTACATTTCATATCTCATTCATCACATGTCTGTAACTTATTTTTGTGTGACTATAAATATTGATTAACGCTTGTTAAAATGGAGCTTGCTCATACACCTCCATCGACGGTCGTTTCGCTCCACTCTCTTCTCTTCACTTTCCTGTGCCTTGTTATTCTGATTGCCTGCCCAGAACAATGAGTATACAAAATATACTTATTCAAAAATCCATTCTCCTATTCGATTTAAGTCGAAGAAATATACAAGGATTGACGATATGTATATCTCAATAGCAATCAGAAACGACCCAATTGGCGTCAGATATAGGGCTACTAAAGTAATATCTCAATGAATAGGAAATTGCATTTTTGATGTTTTACAACTTAATGTCAGTCAGTTCTTCAGAATAAATAACTGACTGAAATGAATTAATACAAGTTTAAATAGTATACTACTCCTATTCATTAGGATTTCATAAAGAGACAATTATTAACTTTCTATCCAATCCCGAATTTGATTGAGATCATGAACTGATTGATGTTAGAGCATCATTGAAAACCTGGAAGCACTGGACGGTCGTTTCGTTCTATTGCTGTGTATATATGTACTCAAATCATATTATCAGATTTTTCTTTACCTTAGTATGCCCTTATACAGTTTGACTACAAATTTGCCAATGTAATTGCTCGTATATACTTATTCGCCTCTCCGCTTTAAATTTGTTTGATATGGTTATAGCTTTGTAATCTGCTCTATCTGCTAAGAAACTGTAGTTGCCACTTCTCTTTGCCTTCTGATTTCAAACACCGTTGAGGTTTATATAATAACGGTTACGAAGGTGGTTGGTTAACAAAGCAACTATTTATTAAATAGTATGAATAAGCTTAAAGGTAGTGATATTTTATTCGACGGTATGTGAGCACTAACATAGTTACTTCAGCACCTAAACACGAGTAGATAAAGATGGGCTATGAATGCTATAATTGTAGGATCTAATTCTTCTACAGATAATTTTTCTAAACGAATCCCTTAACTGTAGAGCTCAGACTTGTGGAGTAGTTAAAACTAGAATAAGTGAACTATTTGATGGGTAAATTTTAATCTATTTCTAAATTCTAGATTACTACCATTAGTTCAAAGACGTAAATCAGTGAAGTCTATAGGAAAAATGGAAGTGATTAAAATGGTACATACAGAACATTAATTAGACGGTAGAGTAAATAAGACAATGAAAACTTAGTTATATTTATAAAAAGGGTATAGTTTCTTGGTCGGTAGATGAACAAAGAATCTAGTTACTTTGTGTTGAGAAAGAATTTAAGATGTGAAAATTGGTGGAATTCGGTTTGTACTTGTTATGGTCTATGAGTTCTAATTAATCAGGATTTGAGCTCTTCACAAGGCTTGACCTAATTGACTATACAAACGTGAGAAGACTAAAAATACTTAGTAGATTTCATATCTACGTCTGAATAATTATCTATCTAAATCAAGTTATCTGATCAATCTAGCCAAAGATATGTAGATAGTGACATGAGCTAGTTGATAAGTTGGCTTAATCACGGCAATATCTTCACAATATCATCTTTCCCTTATCCTTGTGACATCATATGTTTTACCTGACTTTGAAGCAACATATGATGTGTACGAACTATCAAAGCCTATCAATACAATGACGAACAATATAGCACTGTATGTTTATTCCACTAATCTGTTCGATATCTCCGAAGATGATATAAATTTCTTCTGAATACTTTCACTAGATTAATGTTATAACTTGTGGCTCGTGCGCCCTATTAATGCATAACGTAATGATACCGCCAATTAGAGAGCAGTGACTTATCGATCGGATCAGTGACGAGTAAACCCGTACGAGCAGTCTGGAGTACTTATCGGTCCTACTTCCTGCCTAGACCAGCCAGTTAAGTCCAGAACACCAATCCCAGCCTCTTCAATATGAATCATTTATTTCAAACATACTCGGTTTATATATCAACCAGGCAGACCAAAACGTACCATAAAATAAGAAACAACATTTGTACAAGATTTAGCCAAATGTGGCTGTGAATGTGGGAAATGGTAATTGACAGACAGAGAATAACTCAAGAATGGTGAAACATATAATAATAGTTTATAGATCAAAATAAAGCTCTTAATAAGAGGGACATGAATCTGAATAGTTTAGTTACTTAACAATTATACGATTAAAATATACGCATAGTATTGGTTCACAGATGGATCCCAAAAGTAACCATTCATTATGCTTATTGAGATGTAACAATTAATCATTTCTATATTGAATTTAAGTAAGAAACTTTTTAATAACAAAAAGTAACAAATGTATTAGGTGGTTCAATTGACTTAGTATTAAACGATAAGTATGAAACCTACATACTCTTAGTTATCTTACAAATGAATGAGCACTGATTCAACATGTAAAAGAGGGAAATTCTGTAGATTACAAGTTACGCAATTTGTATATATGTATTATAGGATACTAAGATATCATGAAATTTTGATTAAAATTTAAGGTTTTTCGTTTTATTCAAGCGATTGTTATGATCACTGTAGTCTTGTGAATAGTGAGATCTAGTATCTACTCATACTATGGTCCAGGTATATTCGAAATAAGTAAAAACTTACTAACGCCTGTTAGCCTTCAGGTAGAAGCATAGGGTGACCATCAGCACAGTTCATCCAACTCTGTCATGTACAATTCTTTCCGGCTGCTGTTCATCCTTTTTATGTTTGTTTCCGATTCCCAAAGTAGTGTGGTCTTTAGTCTTCCACCTTTCCGTTTCCCTTCACGACTACAAGTTAGGGATCGCCTCATGATACAGTTTGATGATTTACTCAATATTTGTCCTACCCAATCTTAACGTCTTTTCTTAATTTCCTCTTCAGCTGGAACCTAGTTTGTTCTCTCCCATAGTCGGCTGTTGCTGATGGTATCCGGCCAACAACGGACATTCAGTATCTTGCGTAGACATTTGTTCATAAATACATGTAATTCTTTGGTGATGGTTGTGGTAGTCATTCAAGTTTCAGCTCCATACATTAGGACTGTCTTGACGTTCGTATTGAAGATTGTGACTTTGAAATTGGTTTACAGAAAGTTCTTTTAAGTTCCATATGTTGTTCAAATTTAGGAATGTTGTCTTTGCATTAGCAATCCTCTCATTCATGTTTGCATCGGACGATACTTCTCAGGTACGTGAAAGATTCCATATCTTCGAGAGTTTCTCCATCAATTGTGATGGGGTTGGTGTTCTCTGTGTTGTATTTGAAGATGTTGCTTTTTGCTACTGTTGCAGTAGCTGCTGCTACACTAGTTGTCTTCCTTTGCATTTTAAAGTTTACTATTAACTATAATTGTTATAAATGAATAATTAATTTGATGAAATACTGATGTGACCAAGTTGGTCAAACTGACATTAAGCAATCCGTATAGTTCTTGACTTAGATGAAATGAGTTCATGCAATATAGAAGACAAGTAGGTAAGTGATTGATTGAATAAGACTATTAAGTTGTTAACTGTTCGTAATAAACTACTGATTATAATAACTCAGTAGTTGAAAATTAAAAGAGAAACAAACCGTTTGTTTAAGTTGTCTGATATTTTTCCCATTTCCGTTCTTTTTTTCTTCTTTATCATAACAACTAGTATTATCAAATACAACGTGTTAAGCACTTGTTTATTAGAAGGAAGATAACCGAAGCTAAAAATTACCTACGTACAGTTTTTTTGACAATGGCAAAAAAATTCAGTTTAGCTCAAGAATCAATTAAATCATGTCGTGATACTGCCAGTACAACATTACTTGATCGAGAATATTCACGTAGAATACGTCGTGATTTAAGAAGAATGGCTATGTTAATGATTCATTTATCAAAACATATACACAGAAATACATTGGGTGAAAAAATTAAAGATGCCAATGCATTACACAATCGTTTGTGTAATTTAAGTAATTGTGTATGTTTCTCATTTATTGATTTCATTTTGTAAATGATTTTGAATTGTTCTAGTAACACATCATGGGAACTTTGTAAAGTTCAAAGATTTTAAATCTAGTTTATTATGATAGATTCTAGTGTATTTGGAAAATAAAGTACGGCTACCTAAAACATTGTTTATATTAGAATAAACAATCAAGTCAATATATAGCTTACATCTGAGATGATGGAGAAGATTTGTAGCTTAGGTAGATGATTTTGACAGAGTGTTTTTCATTAAGCTAGATGGTTTGATTATGGAGCTTTCATCGTTCTTCTGAACAATATCATCAGCACATACGTTTACTTAAAGTTTGTGCTCAGAGAAAAAAACTCCATCAAGAAGCTTACATCTCAAGAAAACACAGATCATATTTTCATTGATTATTTTGAACACGATTCGGTTGTGATAAAAGTTAAAAGAACAACTTCAAGTTATACAGATAATTGACCACTGAATAGAATACTTTTGCGTTTTGATCTACAGAGATACTGTAGTGAATGAGAACACAAGTGAGAACATTTGTAAAATGTCAATAAATCATCTCAGACTTCATTGTTCTTTTGTTTCCACATCAATCATTCACTGTTCTCGTTCTCTTTCCTTCGATCTTCTTAACCTTCTGCCTCCAGTCATTTTACTTTCGATTGATGATACATACTACTTATGCCTGTCGACATCAGTAGCACACACTACAATACATATATGACTGTTATCTAACACAACAACAGGAGACAGTGTATAGATGTATAGATGTCAACTAACAACCTAAATCGAAATTTATGGGGATGGAAGAAAAACATATACTGTTTTAAACCAGAGAAGATATTTGTAAAACTTTTTGTCTACAGTTGAAAGAATGGTTTTATCGAAGTTGGATGCCAAATTTATGTAAGACATTAAGAAGGAAAATTCTAAAGCAAGATGGCTGTGGCAAACTTTTTAGAAATGTCATCAGTATATTTGATAGCATCAGGTTTAGTAAAAAGACCGAATTTAGTAACTACAAATTACTTTTTCCTGACTATTCAGTTGAAAGGAAGCAGAATGACTGCTTAAAAATCAATATATTCTGAAAGCCAATATATGCTGGGAAATATCTAAATTATAAGTCAGTACATGTCCTATCTACAAAAGTGACAGTGGTTGGGAATTTGACAAATACAGTTCGGGAACTCTTCACAGAATCGAATGATTAGGAAAATGAGTTTAATTTGTCTATATTCAATGAGATGAAGAATAATTATCTAGGGAACTTATTGAAGAAAGAATAATTCAGAAGGAAAACACAAATGGGAGAAAAAAGAAAACCTGAAGATTGGGTTAACACATTGATGATCCCATATTGTAAAGGAACTTCGGATGATATCAGAAGGATCCTAAACCATCATAAAATAGGCGTTTTTTCGAAAAAAAACTATTCTAAACCCTAAATCATTAAGTGGTAAAGACTCTGTATCAAAGGATGAAGATTTATATAGTGTATATGTGGTCGATGTAGCGGCTCTAATGCTATATACGTAGGTAAGATATCACGGCAACTGAATGTAAGGATGAAGGAACACAAACGTTTCCTGAATTACATTCTAAAATCCTCAGAGAACCTAAAGAAACAATTCAACGATGTTATTACGTTCAAAGGGGTTTTGACATAGAATTGATTTCAAAGGCGTAAAAATTCCTTCCAAAACGTTTCGATTCATACTAACAAAGTGACAGCTGAAGTCCTACACATATAGACAAATCCAAACAATATAAACAGAAAAGATGGAATAAAATTATCTGTACCATGAGAAATAGTAATTAATGAGTAGACCTGGACTTCATTTTACATTTTACTTTTTTTAAAAATTATTCAGGGATTGAACGTTTCACTTTGAGATCACTAAGTTATAATAACTTAGATGTAATCAATAAAAATGAGGTCAAATGCTGAAATAAATAATCCCATTATAGTTAAATTGAAGCATAAGTGCTAACGATACTATTCAGATCAATAAGTTTTATAAAACATTAGTGATTCTCAATAGTTGAGATCATGAGTCAATTCACGCTGCTAGAACACTATGGAAAATCTGGAAGTACTGGACGACCGTTTCGTCCTATTGTGGGACTCCACAACAATGCACATCCACGAGCCCATCTCACAAAATTCGAACCCAGTGTTTATCAGTCTTAACCACTAGACTACTGAGATGGCATCCAATGGTGTTAATGTCTAACTTCAACTAATCCATGAAATCGAGTAACACATCCACCATTGTCATCAATGAGTTACTATCTCACAAGTGACCCAATTGAACTCCACTGGTCACTGCTCCTCACTAGAACTCCAGGATATACCTGTTGAAGCCAGTCACTAATGCACATATGTAGATTAGTATCAGAAGGTGGTTTTGTGTAGATTGTAGTAATTTCAATAGTTGAGATCATGAGTCAATTGAAGCTAGACCACTGTGATTCTTCCTTTATTGTGTCGTTTCTCAAATGGAATGTTTACCAATTTAAGCCCTTGTTTACTACTGAAGATATTTTGCAAAAGATAAGCACCTTTATAAGTGATCAGATCATTCCAATGTTTATGAGTCAAATTGATTTCAATCTGATTTATATTGATTACTGATTTGTTTTTATTGTTTGTTTTAGCCACAAGATGGTTTACCGGATGTTTTTATTTCAATGATATTGGAACATCAAAGAGTTGGCTTTGTTAGAATTCCAGCACGAGATATATATTATTCAGCTGTAGATTGTGAAAGAGGCAAATGGAGTGGACAAATGGCAACTTTATACTTACGTGTATGTAATATTAAAATGTAAATAGGAAATCAAATTTTTTTCTCTCTCCATTTTCTATTAGTAAATAGATTAAGAGTTCATATGAAAATCATCCAAACATTAAATCAAAGTCCTAATGAGTCCAAATATTCACTTGTTTGTACAAAGTTAATCCAGAAACATGGTTTAATGTAAACCGTATCGAACTACTTATATTAATCGAAAGTAATCATACTCTGTTTCTTAATAACATTGATAGTAGTATTAATTAGAGCGCACACATGTTTTTACCCTTTTCATTTCAAACTGTGGTTCATTTAACAAGTTGGACTTTCTTTTTCCAGTAGTGCTCATCATTTACTGACTTTACATAATGACATACTAAACATAATAATGACGGATTAAAAAAAATATTGCTGATTTGACTATGTCAACTTTCAGATCTACTTATATATAATGATAAGTGGCATACATTTTAAGTAAGAACTATCAATGTTTAAAACAACTAGTCCTTTTAATAGTTGAATTCATGAGTCAATTAAGGCTAGACCATCATGAGAAATCTGGAAGTAGTAGACAGCCACTTCAGTATTCTAGAGGTTAGGCGTTCGCACGCAAGACAGGTAGGTCCAGGGTTCGAATCGCGCGGGCGGGCTTGTGGGTGAGCATTACCAAGGAGTTCCTTACTGGAAAAAAACATCCGTACAGTGCTTCCAGGTTTTGAATGATGGTTTAGCTTTAATTGACTCATGAATTCAACTATTAAATAACTAAAATCTCCACAAAACCCCCTTCTTATAATTAGCCCCTTTGATAAATTTCAATAATGCAGTGAGAAGACGAAGGTTATCGAAACTGTGTGATACATTTGCTCAATACATTTCGAACAATCTGGTCACATATATACATGTTAAAAACACTTATATATAAAAATAAAAGGTCAACTAGACAGGAAACGGGGTAAGAGGAGATAAGGATAATGATAAGAGTAATAATAATAATAATGTGAACACAAAGCGAAACCTAATCACTCTGGATAATAAGTCAATATTACCAGGGTAGGTTTAAGGTAAGAACAAAATGTTTTTGAACACATAAAGGGGGTTTGAATTTTCGTATGGCTAAGGCTTCAATGAACCTTAGTATACGCCCTTTTACACTTTTATACAGCACTACAAAAGCTGAATTTAGATCAATCTTGTGACCTGTTTCAATTATATGTTTAGCAATAGAGGATGATGGATGTTTATCCTCTGCTCTTATTTGGTCACTTGATTGTATTTGTTTCTGAAGCCATTTGGGTACATGTTCACTCACCGTAATGTTGAGATCACGATTACTCCTCCCTATGTATGTGTGACCACACACACATTTAAATTGGTAAACACAGTGGGATGTGACGCAATCGTTTCCATGTACTTTAGGTTTTGAATGAAGCATGCACCTTGTTCTTTCTTTGATGATGACCTTTGCTGCGCAATAGGTTTTATTGATGACTGATTTAAGTCGTTGTTTCAGTAAAAGGCTATTTGAATCACCTCTGAATGGTAAGGTGATGTAGACAGGCTTTTTCTCTACCGAGGCTACAGTAGGTCTCGCTGAACCATGGACTTTCCATCTATATATGAATTTCAGAGGATGGCCATTTTCTATTAACGTTTTATTAACAACTTAACATCATCATCAATGGCGTCATTGGTACAAATACGGTCGAGTCTGTTGAAAAGACATCTTATCAAACCACGTCTGTATTGCACTGGGCAATAACTATAACAACTAAGATATTGACCTGTCCACGTTGGTTTTCTAAAAACAGATCGCTTGACTGAGCCATCTTCTCGTCTACTCAGAAGTATATCTAGGAAAGGAAGCTGATTGTTTTTCTCCTCTTCACGTGAGAGACTAATATGGTTTTGGAGAGTGTTGAGTTTATTTAATAAACCGTACATATCCTCTTTTTTCTCACAAACAACTAAGATATCGTCCACATATCTCTTATAAAGTGACATGTTTCCGATTAATTCATCAGTCTGATTTTCAACATGTGCCATGAACACATCTGCTAGTAATGGTCCTAGCGGACTACCCATAGCAACTCCATCAATATGACGAAAGTATTCACCTTCAAAAGTGAACTGAACTTTGTCAATACATAGTAATAGTAAATCTTTAAGTTTTACAGGTACACGTGATTGAAAATTGTTTTCAGTTATGTAATCACATAATATATCAATGGTTTTTAAAAGGTACATTGGTAAACAAGGAATTTACAACAAATGAACACATTGTCTTTTCCTTGATATTAATATCATCTAAATGATCAACCAGTTCAAAAGAATCCTTTATAGAATACTTACATAGATGTCTTCGAATAGGATCCAACAACTTTGCTAGCCATTTAGCCAGATTATGTGTAGGTGATCTGCACATTGATAGAATTGGACGTAAAGGAACATTAGGTTTGTGAATTTTAGGCAGTTCATATAAATGAGGGTACTCGGAACACATGGTTCAGCGAGACCTACTGTAGCCTCGGTAGAGAAAAAGCCTGTCTACATCACCTTACCATTCAGAGGTGATTCAAATAGCCTTTTACTGAAACAACTACTTAAATCAGTCATCAATAAAACCTATTGCGCAGCAAAGGTCATCATCAAAGAAAGAACAAGGTGCATGCTTCAGTCAAAACCTAAAGTACATGGAAACGATTGCGTCACATCCCACTGTGTTTACCAATTTAAATGTGTGTGTGGTCACACATACATAGGGAGGAGTAATCGTGATCTCAACATTAGGGTGAGTGAACATGTACCCAAATGGCTTCAGAAACAAATACAATCAAGTGACCCAATAAGAGCAGAGGATAAACATCCATCATCCTCTATTGCTAAACATATAATTGAAACAGGTCACAAGATTGATCTAAATTCAGCTTTTGTAGTGCTGTATAAAAGTGTAAAAGGGCGTATACTAAGGTTCATTGAAGCCTTAGCCATACGAAAATTCAAACCCCCTTTATGTGTTCAAAAACATTTTGTTCTTACCTTAAACCTACCCTGGTAATATTGACTTATTATCCAAAGTGATTAGGTTTCGCTTTGTGTTCACATTATTATTATTACTCTTATCATTATCCTTATCTCCTCTTACCCCGTTTCCAGTCTAGTTGACCTTTTATTTTTATATATAAATGTTTTTAACATGTATATGTGTGACCAGATTGTTCGAAATGTATTGCGCTAATATATCACATAGTTCTGATAATCTTCGTCTTCTAATATCATTATCGAAATTCTTTTTAAATATTTGAAAAACCACTCAAGGTAACGGCTACAAATATAGTAATAAAAAACAAATACAAAGCTTGCATAGTAACAAACTAACTCATAACCTAATGTTAATTTCAAGTGAAAGATCTGAGATGACAACAGACTCTTAGGATGATTATATAGATTTATAGATGAGGACAATAGGTATTTGAATAATTTTCAGGTTAGCGTTCTTTTTAGCGATTAAGTTTTTTACAGGATGTGGTCGCTAACCACATGCCCAACCCTCCTCCTTTATCTGGGCTTGGGATCGGCAGTAGCCCTAGATAGGCTCCAGGCAGAGTAGTAGCCTCAACAGCAGTAGGTCTCAACATACACAAAGGGAAAAGCAAGACTCTCCGATACAACACAGCATGCAACAATCCGATTTGGAACATGTAAAAACCTTTACATATCTGGGCAGCATCACTGATAAACACGGTGGATCTGATACAGATGTGAAGGCGCGGATCGGCAAAGCAGGAGCAACTATCAACCAACACTAAGGTCAGAATTTTCAATACAAATGTCAAAACAGTTCTACTGTATGTGGCGGAAACTTGGAGAACTACAAAAGTCATCATCCAGAAGATACAGGTGTTTATTAACAGTTGTCTACGCAAAACACTTAGGATCCGTTGGCCAGACAGTATTAGCAACAACCTACTATGAGAGAGAATAAACCAGATTCCAGCTGTCGAAGAAATTAGGAAGAAGCAATGGAAGTGGATAGGACACAGATTGAGGAAAGCACCGAATTTCGTCACAGGTCAAGCCCTCACATGGAATCTTCAAGGCCAAATGAGGAGAGGAAGATCAAAGAACACAATATGCCGAGAAATGGAGACAGACATTAGAAAAATGAATAACAATTGGATAGAACTAGAAAGGAAGGAGTAGGACAGAGTGGGTTGTAGAATGCTGGTCGGCGACCTAAGGTCCATTGTGAGTAACAGGAGTAAGTAAGTAAGTAAGTAAGTACACTAGGTATTTAATAAAATTTCATCTTTACTTATATTAGTTAATATTTCATTCGTTTTAGAAACAAGGTCGTGAGGGTGTTGGACCTAAAGGATGGAGAATTCAAAGTCAAATACGTGTGTATTTATGGCTTGGTTTAATTAAAGATTTTACCGCTTACACATTTGGTTTACCTGGTGGATATGATAAGAATATATTTAAAACACCAAAACCACCAAATGAATTAATTTATCTAGGTAAAAAATAACAAATTATGTATATTATATTTAGTGATATAAGTTTCTTCATTGTTGTGATTAATCTTGGCTTTTAACCAGTATCTAATGACATATTTCCATCCTGAGAAGATTGTGTCTTTATGTCGTTTTAATAAGGTTAAATTGTAGCTGACAGCGGAATCCAAGATGTGGATTTCACCCCACTTGATATTTTTCAGTAGGATGTGTTTGTATTCTAATGTTGATGTTCCCTGTAGAGAATTGGAACCTAGCATCTTTCTCTTCAAACCCTAACATATTATTCACTGAGCTATTGAGTTAAAATATCTGCTTACTCGTTCAATGAGTATGGTGTTTCTTTACGGGATTGTTTGACTTCACCACCTTAGATGAAGCTGAATATATCAACTTAAATAAAGTATCAGTTGATGTCGTTTAAAGAAGGCTTCCAAATGCCCTGATACGGTCGAGAGTGGGGAGAGTCATATCTCCTTCTCGAAATACTCTCATATGGCCATGTACATACAACTACTGCCAGCGAAGTCCTACTCACTACCTTCTCACGGCATTACTGTTGTTTACGAAATTGAGAGGACGAAAAGCGAGTGTCCAGCGCTTTAGCCGGGTTGGTGGATATAGAGGATCCACCTAGGGGAGTTGGAAACCCTCATTCCAAACCAGTGGTGTACATGGGCTCCAGTATCCTTAAGAAACAAATGAACCTATTGTTGGTCACCGGCTCCCATAGGGCTGCATCTCCTCACGATGCTCCACTGCCTTATGGATTAGATATTTGGGTGAAAGGCTCCGGGTATGGCCCCTGAAGAAAACCACATGCTTCGGTTTGGGCACCAGGACAGTGAATGAAAAATATTCTTCCATTAATCTATTATATTTAATAAGCAAGACATATTTGTATAAATATGATGGAACTTTATCTGAAACAACCATGACAACTTCGAAATTAGACTCTTCAAGTCAAAGAACGTAGGAATTCAAAGTGTTATCTACTAGACGTTCAAATTTTTCTCAATTATTACGATAATTGAAAAGAGATTATCCATCTCAAAGCTTTCACCTATTAATTCGTATAATGAATTAAACCGAAAGATTAATGGTTATTATATGATCTGAATTTTTGATACAGAATGATCGTATGTTTATTTTTTCGTAGATCGTTATTCGACTTATTAATTTAATACATGATTATAAGCTTTACTCATTACTCGTTATGGAATTGTGTTTTAAATGATGATAGTGATAAAGAAGTTCAGTGAAATGTCAAGATAAAAGTGATAACATTACATTTGGATCACAACTTCGTAAGTACAAGAAATCTATATTGAGCATATTTTGTGTTAGTTACTTGAAAGTAGCTCTCAGACAATTGATACTTATGTGGTGCGGGCTACTTATATTGATATAAACAGTATATGACTCAAGTCCGGAATGTAATGTCTGGCAGCAGAAGATGGGGAAGATCAATAGAGGAAGAGCGGGAATAGAAAACAATTAGTATGGAAATGCAAGAACAATGGAGTTCGAGACAATTATTGAACATTTTGCAAATTAAGTATCATAGTATGGTTTTTCTATTTTACCAAGTAACTCTGTCATTTTGTGCTAAATATAGTCCGATTGTCCCCACCCGTGTTCGGTTCACCACACTTCTACCATCTTAGTACTAGTAGCCTATGAAGGTGTTTTTACAACTGTTCAGTTGTAACACGTTTTGATGAAGACACGCTTTCTACGAACTGGGTAGTTGGGATTGTTACAACTGATGAGAAACTCACTAGAAATAGGATGTATAGTAATGGAATAAATGGTCAATTGAAATGGATGAGTGGAAATCTTTTTAGTCAAATGGACAAATTTTCTTTTTTTTTCAACCAGTAACAATTGTTGGAATGTATATATGTTTTAATCTCATTTGTTTCCCATTATTTTCTATTAATAAGTAAGTAGACAGTTTCACTACACTTTCTCTGATTCGTTAAAAATATGATTTAATTTGTAAAGTTCCTTTTCAAAGTCACTCAATTTCCTTCATATATTCTAGTCTTACGGTGAAATTGTAATAATTCGTACAAATGAGATGGTGAAGAAGAATTGTAGCTCAGGTGGATGATTTTGATGAAGTTTTATTCTCTGAGCTGGATGATTCGGTCGTGGTAGAAGACTTCTACCTGAAGTTTGTACTGATTATGTCGTTCAAAAGAACAATGAAAGCTCTACGACCAAATCATCTAGATCAAAGAAAAAACCTCTATCAAAACTCGTACAAATATCATATGTCAACTAATCTTGTATCTTAACTTTCAACATCGAATATTCAAAGTCTGTCACAGAAAATCGAAACGATCTGTATTTAACTTAATCTAATCAACAAGGTTCTATACTTGCCATTACCCATTAACATAACTTAGCCAAAATTTTCAAGAAACTTATTCTATATTTAACGTTTCGATCCATATATTGTATTTTCATAAGCTATTGATATAGAACACAGCTATTCATATATTCATTTAGCTGTGATCAATAAAAATGAGATCAGATACTCAAATAAATAATCCCATTAAATTAAATTGAAGCATAAGTGCTAACGATACTATTCAGATCAATAAGTTTTATAAAACATTAGTGATTCTCAATAGTTGAGATCATGAGTCAATTCACGCTGCTAGAACACTATGAAAAATCTGGAAGTACTGGTCGACCGTTTCGTCCTATTGTGGGACTCCACAACAATGCACATCCACGAGCCCATCTCACAAAATTCGAACCCAGTGTTTATCAGTCTTAACAACTAGACTACTGAGATGGCATCCAATGGTGTTAATGTCTAACTTCAACTAATCCATGAAATCGAGTAACACATCCACCATTGTCATCAATGAGTTACTATCTCACAAGTGACCCAATTGAACTCCACTGGTCACTGCTCCTCACAAGAACTCCAGGATATACCTGTTGAAGCCAGTCACTAATGCACATATGTAGATTAGTATCAGAAGGTGGTTTTGTGTAGATTGTAGTAATTTCAATAGTTGAGATCATGAGTCAATTGAAGCTAGACCACTGTGATTCTTCCTTTATTGTGTCGTTTCTCAAATGGAATGTTTACCAATTTAAGCCCTGGTTTACTACTGAAGATATTTTGCAAAAGATAAGCACCTTTATAAGTGATCAGATCATTCCAATGTTTATGAGTCAAATTGATTTCAATCTGATTTATATTGATTACTGATTTGTTTTTATTGTTTGTTTTAGCCACAAGATGGTTTACCGGATATTTTTATTTCAGTGATTTGACTCATCATCATTATAATAAATTATGCAACCAGGTATCACTTAAAAAGTAACTAGATACATCATTCCAGTTGATCACTTATTGAATTTCTTTTATTTGATTATTATTTTTTTTCCTACAGAAAGTAGTCGTTTTCAGTTCAGATGTTATATATTCATTGCACGCGATCTAATAGCCTCTGATTCATCTGGTATGTCAGATCCAATGGCAAGAGTTCTTATTGGACCACATGTTCTTCAAACCCAAGTATTATATCAAACTATGAGTCCAATGTGGGATGTTGTCTTATATAAACAAGTAACATTTTATCAAAATGCTCAATCAGTAAAACAAAATCTTCAAGAGGTTATTGTAGAAATATTTGATATTGATCCAGGAGTAAGTTTAAATGGCTTAAAACAATTTCGTTTTGAAGTTTTCTTTAACTACTAACATGATTATGTAATTCAATGTATAAGATACAAGTATATTTTGAAATGATGAACAGTATATTCGAATCTTAATATAGAGCTTGATAGTAGGATGAATGTTGATCCTGCTGATAAATCTTAAGTGGGACAAAACGAGCTTCTTCAATTTCTTTGCCAGCTATTAGATTGTAACATTAGTAGAATTATGTTTCGGTTGTTTACATGAAAATTGTTGATCACAGTCATAATAAAGTCGGTCTTTTGAAGAAAACATAGAACTTCTATTGTGAATATTCTATTCTTTACTATTTTCCCTATAAAAAAAATACTTGGTAAGCTAACTGGAGTGACATAATACGTAGAATGATGCATCTTAATAATAGCAATCGCTAACAGGCTTAGAAAAGAACTAGGATGAAAACAAAAGTGTCCACAAAAGCATAAGTGTGTTGTATCGGGGAAATTGTTAGGATGAGGCATGGTAATATAAACAACAATAAATGTGTGTATCTATTTATTGACTGGTTTTTATATTTTTATGAATTGTTTACTAGACAACTGTTTTATGAGCAGAGATGGGTGGTAGCTAGCAGTGGAATCGAGGACGCAAGTTTCGTCCTACTTAGGACTCACTAACTGGATGTGCCTGCATCCTAGAGTTGACGTTCCGTCGACGATAACGTGATAGCTTTTGAAGTGAACGGTACTAGGTCCAGTCACAGACTGAACATAAACTCAGGGATGTAGGTACATCCAACTAACGAGTTCCAAGTACAACAAAATATTCATTCTTCCGCTAGCCATCATCCATCTCTGCTTATAATGCTTGTAATTTGGTACCAATATTGAGGTGATTCACTCAGGATGCACGTTTACAGTCCTGAACATCAATGGGAAAATTCGAACAACCAATACAATTGAGTTGTTTTTCATGATATTATTATATTAGTCCTAATTGTAAGTTATCTTTCAACTCTGAATTGTTACGATATATAGTTAAGGTTCATAAATTACACTCAGTAACCTTTATATATATGAATTAGTTTCATCAAAAGCGTCCAAGTTATATAATCACTTAGAAAACAAACAGGTCATGCGCCGAGTCCTCGGATTCTACTTTTTCTAGGGTTGAAGCTATCACGAGTTCACCTAATCTGCGAACGAGAACAAGACTCGGTGACCAAAGACCAGTAAGCTAGCTATTTGATGCGTCCCACCCCCGCTAACTAGAGGGAGAAGTCCAAGCTTGGAATGGGGAAGTATATTCTGCAAACAGCCAGAAACGAGCGACAACAACAAAAACAATTCAAAACGTATATATACAGTACAAAACCGTCCTTGAGAAGAGTCATCAAATAGCATACTAAAATAAGCAACGGACCAATAGCATTTAAAATATTTCCCAGTGGGAAATACGACATGAAGGTGACAAGAGCGCCTTTGGCGCGAAAACAAAGAAATTCAAATTTTATAAGTAAAATTACAAAATTAGTTCCTTTCCCAAGTGAGTTCTTGGGATCTAACGTCCACAACAACTTTATTAATTATGTGGACCATGACTCGAAAATTAAACGTTTTAAGACCTAATAATATGGCTTTTAGGGTTCTAATCGGACATTGTTTGGGGAAGGGAGAATTTACGGAAACAAGTGATCATAAGTTGAATCTAGTATAATGGTTAGTGGATTGATTGTTTCTAGTGTAAGTAATGTCATACAAAACACAAATATTCTCCGGATCGATTACGAATAAAAAATCCTTAAATACATAAGTTTCTTGATTATCCTCAAGTTAACGAATACACGGTAAACTACTTGAATACTTGCTCTTAGTTAATTATACCTCAAGTCTCGTTTTAATATCATAGATGATATGAACTACTCACTCAAAAAATTATAAGTAGCATGTTATTTTTCAAATCTTTTTATTTTTCATTCATTTTATAAGAATGATTTAGAATTTATGGGACGTTGTTTTTGTGAAGTAAATGTTACTTTGGATGGTGAAAAGTATAAACCACCACGTTTACAATGGTGGCCAATATTTCGAGGACAAACTCCTGGTGGAGAATTACTTGCTGCTTTTGATCTAATTCAGGTATTTTATTGATTTTTTGGCGAGACTTTAATTTATGGACTAGTCAATCAGAAGCATTTAAGAGATTTCAAGGTCACGGCGCCAACTTCAGTGCTTAATGCTTTTTTTCATTTTGAACAATAAACAAAAATTTACTTTTCTTAATGACTGACTGTTATATCTAGAAGGTTATTCTTGATATATCGCGTATAACGTGAGCACTAGAACCCCAGAACCCTTCCAAGTCACAATTAGAAGACAGAAGACTAATGAAAGGAATATCATTCCCAGACAGTGTCAATTAAAGTACAAAATTGTCAGGTGTTTATAGTTTTTAGTAAGAACGAAATCATAATTACAGTCCTCCAATCCGCACACAGGGAGTTATTAGCATTGTCCAATCGGGAAGCTACACGTAGGAATTCTAGAATAATTTTCCAAAAGGTGATTGGATGGAATATCTTCGGCTCCTTCTGAGCCTCTTAAAGCTTCTTCGTGTTCACCTGTGATCCGTCGTCACACTGTTCAATGAAACTTGATGTTACCTAACTGTCAGAAAGTCAAGAAGTCTACATTCTTTTATCTACACAATTTGATGTAACAGATTACTTTTTAAGTAAATTATACGAGTTCCTAAAATAACGGCAAAACTAAACATTTTCCGTTTATCAGGATGTTATATCATAAAACAATAATACGACCTGAGATATAGGATTATACAATCACTAAACTGCATACTTTTACTATACACTATTAATAGATTGAAGTCACGTTGTGTTAGATATAGCATATGTGCCTAAAGGTATAGAACCAGATTATAAATCAAACAATAGTTTATTTGACACAACATTAGGTGTGGATACAAAGTGAGTCCAGAGTAGAAATTACAAGCGAGATCATTCAAGTAAATTGATACAACACTTGCGGAACACTAGAAAGATCAGTTCTACATGAATTAGCCACTGAAAACATTATTCGAAAATGGCAATGAAAACGTCGCGATTAAACCAGCTCATCCATAAAAAAAAGTGATTTCTTAACGCATAGTTAAAAAAGGAGATGGCCGGTTCGAGATTTAAACTGAATCTGATTGATAGGAGTTTATCTCAAGTGTTATTGGTTGGTTCGTTCTTATCGATCTGATTAATGCGCTCCAAAGATCATGGATCATGCGTCGTCATGACATACTAAATACTACCACATAAATCTAATCTAGAAAGTTATAATCAAACTCACTCAATTTATTTGAAGTCTACAACAGTAACCCATCATTTAGATGAATGGGAATTG